GGGAAAAATCCTTAAAAAACCTGGAAAAATCTGGGAAAAATCCGGGAAAAATCAAAAAAAAAATCCGGAAAAATCCTAAAAAAATCCTTAAAAAAATCCTAAAAAAATCTGGGAAAAATCCTAAAAAAATCCTTAAAAAAGTTAAAAAATCTGGGAAAAATCCTAAAAATATCCGGGAAAAATCCTAAAAAAAAACCCCGGGGAAATCCTAAAAAAATCCGGGAAAATCATAAGAAAATTCGGGAAAAATCCTAAAAAAATTCGGGAAAAATCCTAAAAAATCCTTTAAAAATCTGAGGAAAATCCTAAAAAAAACCCGGGAAAATCCTAAAAAAATTCGGGGAAAAATCCTAAAAAAATCCGGGAAAATTCTTAAAACAATTCGGGAAAAATCCTAAAAAAATCCGGGAAAATCCTACAAAATCCTAAAAAAATCCTAAAAAAAAATCCAAAAAAGTCAAGGAAAATCCTAAAAAATCCGGGAAAAATCCTAAAAAAATCTGGGAAAAATCCTAAGAAAAAATCCGGGGAAAATCCTAAAAAAAATTCGGAAAAATCCTAAAAAAATCCTAAAAAATCCTTAAAAAAATCTGGGAAAAATCCTAAAAAAATCCGGAAAAATCCTAAAAAAAATCCGGGAAAAATCTTTAAAAAAACAAAAAAAATCCGGGAAAAATCCCAAAAATTTCTGGAAAATTCCTAAAAAAATCCGGGAAAATCCCCCAAAAAATTTTGGGAAAAATCCATTTCTTCCCTCCCTAATTACCCCCATTAATTAATGAATTCATCAATCATTCCCTAATTGCCGCTCCTAATCAATGACCTCATTGTTCATTCCCTAATTAAAATTCTTCATTAATTCATTAATCAATCGTTCCCTAATTGCAACTCTTAATTCATTAATTAATCATTTATTCCCTAATTACCACTCTTAATTAATGACGCACTCACTCATTCCCTAATTGCAGCTCTTAATTAACTCCTTCATTCATTCATTAATCATTCCCTAATTGCACCTCCTAGTTAATGAGGCAATTATCAATTCCCTAATTACAACCCTTAATTCCTTAATTAATTAATCATTCCCTAATTCCAAGTCCTAATTAAGGATGCAATTATTCATTCCCTAATTATAAATGCTAATTAATCAATTCATTAATTGCTTAATCATTCCCTATTTCCAACTCCTAATTAATGATGCAATTATTCATTCCCTAATTCCCCTCATTAATTAATTAATTAATTAATTGTTTCCTAATTGAAGCCTCTAATTAATGACCTAATTATTCTTTCCCTAATTCCTACTCTTAATTAATTCATTCATTAATTAATCAATCATTCCCTAATTTCAGATCCTAATCAATAACCTAATTATACATTCCTTAATTACAATTCTTAATTAATTAAGTAATCAATCATTCCCTAATTGCAACTCTTAATTAATTAATTAATCATTAATTCCCTAATTACAACTCTTAATTAATGACACAATTCTTCATTCCCTAATTATAATACTTTAGTTATTAATTGCTGAATCATTCCCTAATTACAATTCCTAATTAATGACGCAATTATTCATTCCCTAATTCCAACTCTTAATGAATGAATTAATTAATCATTCCCTAATTGGAACTCTTAATTAATTAATTAATTAATTATTCATTCCCTAATGCCAATCCTTAATTAATGATGTAAGTTTTCATTCTCTAATTACAACTCTTAATTAAATAATTAATTAATAATGCCTTAATTATAACTCTTAATTAATTAAATTCATTAACCATCCCCTAATTACATCATTATTAATTCTTTAATTGCACACCCCAATTAGTGACGTCATTATTAATTCCCTAATGACGTCATTAATGAATCTGTAATTCTGTAATTAATCCTTCTCTAATTGCATCAGCCCCTAATTACCATGCGCTGATTAACACTCTAATTAATTCTTCTCGCCTAATTACCCCTCATCAATGACGTCATTACTTGCTCCCTAATTACCCCTAATTAATGACACCATCCTAATTATCCCCTCATTAATTCCAGAATTATCCCTTCGCTAATTACCCCTTCATTAATTAACCCCTAATTATCCTCTCAATAATTAACCCCTAATTACCCCTTCATTAATTAACCCCTAATTACCCCTTCACTAATTAACTGCCTAATTACCCTCTCATTAATTAACTGCCTAATTACCCTTTCATTAATTAACCCCTAATTAGCCTCTCATTAATTAACCCCTAATTATCCTCTCATTAATTAACTCCCTAATTACCCTTTCATTAATTAACCCCTAATTATCCTCTCATTAATTGACCCCTAAATATCCTCTCATTAATTAACCCCTAATTACCCCTTCATTAATTAACCCCTAATTACCCCTTCATTAATTAACTCCCTAATTACCCTCTCATTAATTAACTCTCTAATTAGCCCTCATTAATGAACCCCTTAATTACCCTCACATTAAATCCCTCATTAATTAACCCTCTAATTACCCGCTCATTAATTAATTCCCTAACTACCCCTCATTAATCACCCCTTCATTAATTAACTCTCTCATTACCTTCTCATTAATTACCTCTCTAATTAATCTCTCATTAGTTAAGTCCCTCATCAATTAAGTCTCTAATCACCCCTCATTAATTAACTCACTAATTATCCCTCATTAATTAAGCTTATTAGCTGTCTCTAATTATCCCTCTTTAATTAATTGCGGTCATTAATTGCTTTGAATGACCCCTCATTAATTAACCCCTCACTAATGAACTCCTTAATCACCTCATTAGTCACCAGCGACTAATTAACCCCTAATTAGCGCTCATTAATTAATTGCTCTCAGTAACTGTCTCTAATCACCCTCATTAATTAACCCCTAATTACCCCAATAATTAATTACCCCTCATTCATTAAGTCCCTAATTACCCCTCGTTAATTAGTTATGCTCATTACCCGTCTCTAATGACATTGATTAATTAACCCCTCATTAATTCCCTGCCTCTAATTGCTCTTCATTAATCGCCCCCTCATTAATTAATCTCCGATCACCCCTCATTAATTCCCTCATTAATTAACCCCCATTAATGAACCCCCTAATCACCCTCACTAATTAACCCTTCATTACCCTTCATAAATTAATTATCCCTCATTCATGAACTCTCTAATTACCCCTCATTAATTACCCCTCACTAATTAACCGCTAATTACCCCTCATTAATTAGTCCCTCATTAACTGTCTCTAATTACATTCATTAATGACCCCTCATTAATTAACTTCCTCTAATCACCCCTCATTAATGAATCGCCCTCATTAGCAAGTGTTTCTAATTACCCCATTAATGAATTACTCTCATTAACTGTCTCTAATTACTCCTCATTAATTAGTCACCCCCATTAATTGTCTCTAATTTCTCCTCATTAATTAACGCCTCATTAATTAACTCTCTAATCACCCCTCATTAATTACATCCTCTTTAATTAACCCCTTCATTATCTATCTAATCACCCCTCATTAATTACCCCCTCATTAATTAACCCCTCGGTAATTGACTCTCTAATCTCCTCTCATTAATCCCCGCTCATTACTCACCCCTCATTAATTATCGCTCTAATTACCCTCATTAATTACCCCCTCATTAATTAACGCCTTATTAATTAACTCTCTAATCACCCTCATTAATTACCCCTTCATTAATTAACTTCTCATTAATTAACTCTCTAATTACCCTCATTAATCCCCCCTCATTAATTAACCGCTTCATTAACTAACTTTCTAATCTCCCCTCATTAATCCCTCCTCATTATTCACCCCCTCATTAATTAACTCTCTAATTGCCCTAATTAATTACCCCCTCATTAATTAACCCCTCATTAATTAACTCTCTAATCACCCCTCGTTAATTTGTCTCATTAATTAACCCCTCATTAATTAACTTCTAATTACCCTCATTAATTCCCTCTCATTAATCACCCCTCATTAATTAGATCTCTAATTAATGCCTCATTAATTAACTCTCTAATTACCCTAATTAATCCCCCTCGTTAATTAACCCCTCATTAATCATCCCTTATTAATTATCTCTCCATTCACCCCTCATTAATCTGCCGTCATTAATTAACCCGTCATTAATTAACTCTTTAATCCCCCCTTATTAATCCCCGCTCATTAATCAACGCTCATTAATTATCTCTCTAATTACCCTCACTAATTACCCCCTCATTAATTAACTCCTCATTAATTAACTCTCTAATTACCCTCATTAATCCCCCTTCATTAATCACCCCCTCATTAATTAACTCTCTAATTACCCCCATTAATCCGCCTCATTAATCACCCCTTATTCATTACCTCTCTAATCACCCTCATTAATTACCCCTCATTAAGAACTCCCTAATCCCTCTCATTAACTGCCCCTCATCAATCCCCGCTCACTAATTATGTGCTAATGATCCACTAATGAGTTAATTACCCTCATTAATTAACCGCAATGATGAGCGTGGTGGGTCATTAATTGGTTAATTAGCGCTGTGTTAATTACCCCCCAGCCGGACAGAGTGGGGTCATTAATTGGTTAATTAGCGCTGTGTTAATTACCCCCCAGCCGGACAGAGTGGGGTCATTAATTGGTTAATTAGCGCTGTGTTAATTACCCCCCAGCCGGACAGAGGGGGGTCATTAATTGGTTAATTAGCGCTGTGTTAATTACCCCACAGCCGGACAGAGTGGGGTCATTAATTGGTTAATTAGCGCTGTGTTAATTACCCCCCAGCCGGACAGAGTGGGGTCATTAATTGGTTAATTAGCGCTGTGTTAATTACCCCCCAGCCGGACAGAGTGGGGTCATTAATTGGTTAATTAGCGCTGTGTTAATTACCCCCCAGCCGGACAGAGTGGGGTCATTAATTGGTTAATTAGCGCTGTGTTAATTACCCCCCAGCCGGACAGAGGGGGGTCATTAATTGGTTAATTAGCGCTGTGTTAATTACCCCACAGCCGAATGGGCCCCGCGACCTTCGGCCTCGTCTGGGCCGTCCTCGGCCTCAGCGCCAGCGACGGTGAGAGACATTCCCCAATATTCCCAAATATTCCCGAAATTCCCAATTTCCCAAAAATTCCCAAATCCTGGAAATCCCCAAAAATTCCCGAAATTCCCAAAAATTCCCGAAAATTCCCCCCAAAAATTCCCAAATATTCCCCAAATATTCCCACATTTCCCAAAAAAATGCCCAAATATTCCCCAAAAATTCCTCCCAAAAATTCCCTAAAGTTCCCAAATATTCCCAAAAAAATTCCCAAATATTCCCAAAACATTCCCAAAATATTCCCCAAATATTCCCAAAAATTCCCAAAATATTCCCCAAAATATTCCCCAAAAATTCCCAAAATATTCCCCAAAATTCCCAAAATATTCCCAAATTTCCCAAATTTCCCGAATTTCCTTCCAAATTCCCCAATTCCGAAAATCCCCAAATTCCTGAAAAGTCGCAAAATATTCCCCAAACATTCCACAAACATTCCCAAAATATTTCCCAAACATTCCCAAATATTCCCCAAATATTCCCCAAAATTCTTCCCAAAATATTCCCCAAAAATTCCCCAAATATTCCACAAATATTCCCAAAATATTCCCAAAATTCCTCCCAAATTCCCCAATTCTGGAAATCCCCAAATCCCCCAATTCCCAAAAATTCCCCAAAATTCCCCCAAAAAATTCCCAGATATTCCCCAAATATTCCCAAAATATTCCCAAAAATTCCCAAATTTCCCAAATTTCCTCCCAAATTCCCCAATTCCCCAATTCCGGAAATCCCCAAATCCCCCAAATTCTCCAAAATTCCTGAAAATTCCCCCCAAAAATTCCAAAAAATTCCCCAATTTCCCCAATTTCCTCCCAAATTCCCCAATTCTGGAAATCCCCAAATCCCCGAAATTGCCAAAAATTCCCCAAAATTTCCTCCAAAGTTCCCGAATTCCCCAATTCCAGAAATCTCCAAAATACCCAAAAAGTCCCAAAATATTCCCCAAAAATTCCCAAAATATTCCCAAAATATTCCCAAATATTCCCAAATTTCCCCAATTTCCTCCCAAATTCCCAAATCCCGGGAATCCCCAAATCCCCAAAATTCCCAAAATATTCCCCGAATTCTCCAAAATATTCCCCAAAATTCCTCCGAAACTATTCCCCAAATATTCCCCAAAAAGTCCCAAAATATTCCCCAAAACTTCCCAAACTATTCCCAAAACATTCCCAAAATATTCCCAAATATTCCCCAAATATTCCCCAAAAGTCCTCCCAAATTCCCCAATTCCCCAATTCCGGAAATCCCCAAATCCCCGGCACTCCAAAAAAATCCCCAAAATATTCCCCAATTCCCCAAAATATTCCCAATTATTCCCCAATTCCCCAATTCCAGAAATCCACAAATTCCCAAATTCCCAAAAAGTCCCAAAATTTCCCCAAAATTCCTCCCAAATTCCCCAATTCCGGAAATCCCCAAATCCCCGAAATTCCCCAAAATTCCCAAAATATTCCCCAAATATTCCCACATTTCCCCCAAAAAATCCCCAAATATTCCCAAAAATTCCCCCCCAAAATTCCCCAAATATTCCCCAAATATTCCCCAAATATTCCCAAATTTCCAAATTTCCCCAAATTTCCTCCGGAAATCCCCAAATCCCCGAAATTCCCAAAAATTCCCAAATTTCCCAAATTTCCGCCCAAATTCCCCAATTTCCCAATTCCCGAAAATTCCCAAAAACTCCCAAAATTTCCCAAAAATTCCCAAAATTCCCGAATTTCCTCCCAAATTCCTCCCCAATTCCCCAATTCCGGAAATCCCCAAATTCCAAAAATTTCCCACAAAATTCCCAAATACTCCCCCCAAAAATTCCCCCAAAAATCCCCAAATTTCCTCCCCAATTCCCCAATTCCGGAAATCCCCAAATCCCCCAATTCCCAAAAATTCCCGAAAATTCCCCAAAAATTGCCCAAATATTGTTCAAAATATTCCCAAATATTCCCAAAATATTCCCCAAACATTCTGCCAAAATTCCCCAAATATTCCCCAAATATTCCCAATTATTTCCCAATTCCCCAATTCTGGAAATCCCTAAATCCCCAAATTCCCAAAAATTACCCAAAAATTCCCAAAATATTCCCAAATTTCCAAATTTTCCCAAAATTCCTCCCAAATTCCCCAATTTCCCAATTCCGGAAATCCCCAAATCCCCAAATATCCCAAATTTCCCCAAATTCCTCCCAAATCCCCAAAATTCCCCAAAATTCCCAAAATATTCCCCAAATATTACCCAAAATTCCTCCCAAAATATTCCCCAAAAATTCCCCAAAATTCCCAAAATATTCCCCAAACATTCCCAAAAATTCCCAAATTATTTCTCAAAATATTCTCCAAATATTCCCAAAATATTCCCTAAACATTCCCAAATTTCCAAATTTCCCCAAATTTCCTCCGGAAATCCCCAAATCCCCAAAATTCCCAAAAATTCCCAAAATATTTCCAAAATTTCCTAATTTCTCCGAAATTCCTCCCAAATTCCCCAATTCCGGAAATCCCCAAATCCCCGAAATTGCCAAAAATTCCCTAAAATTCCCCCCCAAAATTCCCAGATATTCCCAAAATATTCCCAAAATATTCCCCAAAATTCCCAAATTTCCCCAATTTCCTCCCAAATTCCCCAATTCCCCAATTCCAGAAATCCCCAATTCCCTGAAATTCCCCCAAATTCCCCAAAATATTCCCAAAATTTCCTCCCAAATTCCCAAATTCCCCAATTCTGGAAATCCCCAAATCCCCCAATTCCCAAAAATTCCCCAAATTCCCCCCCAAAAAATTCCAAAATATTCACAAAATTTCCCAAAAGTTCCCCAAATTTCCTCCAAAATTCCCAAACTCATGAAATCCCCAAATCCCCGAAATTCCCAAAATTTCCCGAAAATTCCCCAAATTTCCTCCAAAAATTTCCAATCCCCGAATTCCGGACATCCCCAAATCCCAAATGTTCTCAAAAATTCCCGAAAAAATTCCATAAAATTCCCCAAAATTATCACAAAATTCCCAAATTCAAAAATTCCCCAAATTTTTCCAAAATTTCCCAAAAAAATTCCAAAATATTCCCAAAATATTCCCAAAATTCCCAAATTACCCAAAATTCTCGAATTCCTGAAATCCCCAAATCCCCAAAAATTCCCAAAATTTCCCTCCAAAAAATCCCAAAACATTCCTGAAAATTCCCCCAAATTCCCTCAATTTCCTCTAAAATTCCCAAATCCCCAAAAATTCCCACAATTTCTCCCCAAAAATCCCAAAATATTCCCAAAAATTCCCCAAATTTCCTCCACAAATCCCCAATTCCAAAATGCCTGAAATCCCAAAATAATTCCCAAAATAATTCCCAAAATAATTCCCAAATTCTTAAAAAATTCCCCCAAAATTCTCAAATTATTCCGAAATCATTCCCAAATAGTTCCCAAATCATTCCCGAATAATTCCCAAAACAATTCTCAAAATAATTCCCAAATCACTAAAATAAATCCCAAAATAATTCCCAAATCCTGAAAATAATTCCCAAATACTTCCCCAAATCCCCCAAGCAATCCAAAATTCCCAATGAATTCCAAAAGAATTCCCAAATTCCCAAAATTTTTCCCCAAAAATTCCCAAATCATTCCCAAAACCCCAAAATAATTCCCAAATAATCCCAGTCCATTGACAGATAATCAATACCCAATCCATGGACAGATAATCAATACCCAATCCATCGATAGATAATCAATACCCAATGCATGGACAGATAATCAATACCCAATCCATCGATAGATAATCAATACTCAATCCGCTGACAGATAATCAATACCCCATCCATCGACAGATTCTGCCTTTAACCCCTTTAATCCCAAAATAATCCCGAAAATAATTCCCAAAGAATTCCCCAAACAATTCCCAAATTCCCAAAATAATTCCCAAATTCTGAAAAAATTCCCAAATCATTCCCAAAATAATCCCCAAAATAATTCCTAAATAATTCCCAAAAGAATTCCCAAAGAATTCCCCAAACAATTCCCAAAGAATTCCCAAAGAATTCCAAAATAATTCCCAAAATAATTCCCGAATTCCGAAAAAATTCCCAAATAATTAATTCCCAAAGAATCCCCAAATAATTCCCAAAAGAATCCCCAAATAATCCCCAAAATAATCCCCAAAATAATTCCTAAATAATCCCCAAAATAATTCCTAAATAATTGCCCAAATAATTCCCCAAGAATCCCCCAAACAATTCCCAAATTCCCCGAGAATTCCCAAAGAATTCCCAAAGAATTCCCAAATTCCAAAAATAACTCCTGAATTCCGAAAAAATACCCAAATCATTCCCAAAATAATCCCCAAAATAATCCCCAAAATAGTTCCCAAAGAATTCCCAGGATGATTCCCAAATTCGTAAAATAATTCCCAAATTCTGAAAAAATTCCCAAAATAATCCCCAAAATAATTCCTAAATAATTCCCAAAATAATTCCCAAATCCCCAAAATTATTCCCAAATAATTTGTAAATAATTCCCCAAGAAATCCCCAAACAATTCCCAAATTTCTGGAGAATTCCCAAAGAATTCCCAAAATAATTCCTAAAGAATTCCCATAATAATTCCCAAAATAATTCCCAAACAATTCCCAAATTCCCGGAGAATTCCCAAAATAATTCCCCAAAATAATCCCCAAAATAATTCCTAAAGAATTCCCAAAGAATTCCCAAAGAATTCCCAAATCCCCAAAATAATTCCCAAATTCCCAAAATAATTCCCCAAAAATTCTCAACATAACTCCAAAATAATTTCCCAAAATAATTCCCAAATTCCCAAAATAACTCCTGGATTCCAAAAAAAAAAAATCCCAAATCATTCCCAAAATAATACCCCAAATAATTCGTAAATAATTCCTGAATAATTCCCAAAGAGTTCCGCAAATCATTCCCAAAATAATTCCCAAAATAATTCCCAAATTCCAAAAAAATTCCCGAATCATTCCCAAAATAATCCCCTAAATAATTCCCAAAGAATCCCCAAATTATCCCCAAAATAATCCCTAAATAATTCCCAAAATAATTCCCACAGAATTCCCAAAATAATTCCCAAAATAATCCCTAAATAATTCCCAAAGTAATTCCCAAATCCCGAAAATAATTCCTAAAGAATTCCCAAAAGAATTCCCAAACAATTCCCCAAATAATTCCCAAATTCCTGGAGAATTCCCAAACAATTCCCCAAACAATTCCCAAATTCCCGGAGAATTCCCAAAGAATTTCCAAATAATCCCCAAAATAATTCCCCAAATAATTCCCCGAGAATTCCCCAAACAATTCCCAAAGAATTCCCAAAGAGTCCCCAAATAATCCCCAAAATAATTCCTAAAGAATTCCCAAAATAATTCCCAAACAATTCCCAAAATAATTCCGAAAGAATTCCCGAAGAGTTCCCAAAATAATTCCCAAATTCCCAAAAAAATTCCCGAATCATTCCCAAAATAATTCCTAAATAATTAATTCTCAAAGAATCCCCAAATAATCCCCAATAAATCCCCAAAATAATTCCCAAAATAATTTCCAAAATAATTCCCAAAATAATTCCCAAAGAATTCCCCAAACGATTCCCAAATTCCCCAAGAATTCCCAAAGAATTCCCAAATAATTCCCAAATTCCAAAAATAACTCCTGAATTCCGAAAAAATACCCAAATCATTCCCAAAATAATCCCCAAAATAATTCCCCAAATAATTCCTGAATTCCCGGAATAATTCCCAAATTCCTGAAGTAATTCCCCCAGAAAATTCTCAAAATAATTCCCAGAAAAAAATTTGCAAAACAATTCCTGAATCCTGAAAAAATTCCCAAATCATACCCAAAATAATCCCCAAAATAATTCCCAAAATAATTCCTCGAGAATTCCCCAAACAATTCCCAAAATAATTCCTGAAGAATTCCCCAAATAATTCCCAAAGAATTCCCAAAGAATCCCCAAAATAATTCCTAAATAATTTCCAAAATAACTCCCGAATTCTGAAAAAATTCACAAATCATTCCCAAAATAATCCCCCAAATAATTCCCAAAGAATTCCCCAAACGATTCCCAAATTCCCAAAGAATTCCCGGAGAATTCCCGGAGAATTCCCAAATAATTCCCAAATTAACTCCTGAATCCCCAAAAAAATTGCCAAATCATTCCCAAAATAATCCCCAAATCCCCAAAATAATTCCCATAATAATTCCCAAAGAATATCCCAAACAATTCCCAAATTCCCCAAAATAATTCCCGAATTCTGAAAAAATTCCTGAATCATTCCCAAAATAATTTCTAAATAATTAATTCCCAAATCATTCCCAAAATAATTCCCAAAATAACTCCCAAAGAATTCCGAAAATAATTCCCGAATTCCAAAAAAATTCCCGAATCATTCCCAAAATAATTCCTTAATAATTAATTCCCGAAGAATCCCCAAATAATCCCCAATAAATCCCCAAAATAATTCCCAAATAATTCCCAAAATAATTCCCAGACAATTCCCAAAATAATCCCCAAATCCCCAAAATAATTCGTAAATCATTCCCAAAGTAATTCCCCAATCCTGAAAATAATTCCTAAATAATTCCCCAAATAATTCCCAAACAATTCCCCAAATAATTCCCCTAGAATTCCCCAAACAATTCCCAAAATAATTCCCAAAGAATTCCAAAATTCCGAAAAAATACCCAAATAATTCCTAAAATAATCCCCAAAATAATTCCTAAAGAATTCCCCAAATAATTCCCAAAGTAATTCCCAAAGAATTCACAAAACAATTCCCAAAAAATTCGCAAAACAATTCCCGAATTCCCAAAATAATTCCCAAATCATTCCCCAAATAATCCCCAAAGTAATTCCTAAAGAATTTGCAAAATAATTCCCAAATCATTCCCCAAATAATCCCCAAATCCCCAAAATAAGTCCCAAAGTAATCCCCATAATAATTCCTAAATAATTCCCCGAATAATTCCCAAACAATTCCCCGAATAATCCCCAAAATAATTCCGAAAGAATTCCCGAAACAATTCCCAAATAATCCCCAAAATAATCCCCGAAATAATTCTGAAAGAATCCCCAAAATAATTCCTGAATAATTCCCAAAGAATTCCCCAAACAATTCCCAAACAATTCCCGCAGAATTCCCAAAGAATTCCCAAAATAATTCCCAAATCCCCAAAATAATTCCCCAAAAATTCCCAACATAACTCCAAAATAATTTCTCAAAATAATTCCCGAATTCTGAAAAAATTCCCAAATCGTTCCCAAAATAATCCCCAAATCCTTGAAATAATTACCAAAATAATCCCCAAAATAATCCCCAAACTAATTCCTAAATAATTCCCAAAATAATTCCCCAAGAATTCCCCAAACGATTCCCAAATTCCCCAAGAATTCCCGGCGAATTCCCAAATTCAGAATTCCCCCTTTATTCCCCGGCAGCGGCGGTTGCGGGTCCGGTTCCGGTTCCAGGTCCGGTTGGTGGCGGCGGCGGTGCCGGGGCGGAGTCGCGGCTGTTCCGCCGGCTGTTCTCCCGCTACAGCCGCTGGGCGCGGCCCGTGCCCAACACCTCGGACGTGGTGATCGTGCGCTTCGGGCTCGCCATGGCCCAGCTCATCGACGTGGTGCGTTCTGCCGGGGAAATTCCCGGGATGAGGGGGGAAATTCCCGGGATTCGGGGGTGGAATTCCTGGGATTTGGGGGTGGAATTCCTGGGATGTGGGGGGTGAAATTACCGGGATTCGAGGGGGAAATTCCTGGGATTTGGGGGGGGAAATTACCAGGATTCGGGGAGGAAATTCCCGGGATTCGGGGGGTGAAATTCCTGGGATTTGGGGGTTGGAATTGCCGGGATTTTGTCAAAACTCCTGGAATTCCATTGTCAAAATTCCCGGGATTCCATGGTCAAAATTCCCGGGATTTTGTGGTCGAAATTCCCGGGATTTGGGGGTTGAAATTCCCGGGATTCAGAGGTTGAAATTCCTCGGATTCTGTCAAAGTTCCTGGAATTCCATTGTCAAAATTCCAGGGATTCTGGGGTCGAAATTCCCGGGATTGGGGGGTTGAAATTCCTGGGATTTGGGAGTTGAAATTCCTGGGATTTCATAGCTGTAATTCACTGGATTCTGGGGTCAAAATTCCCGGGATTCTGTCAAAATTCCTGGGATTGAGTGGTTGAAATTCCCGGGATTCTGTGGTTGTAATTCCCGGGATTCAGTGGTTAAAATTCCCAGGATTCTGTCAAAATTCCTGGAATTCCTTTGTCAAAATTCCCAGGATTCCACTCCCAAAAATTCCCGGGATTCTGTGGTTGAAATTCCCAGGATTACATGGTCAAGATTCCGTGGTTAAAATTCCAGGGATTCTCTGGTCAAAATTCTGGGGATTCCACTCCCGAAATTCCCGGGATTGTGTGGTCAAAATTCCCGGGATTCAGTGGTTAAAATTCCCAGGGTTCCATGGTCAAGATTCTGTGGTCAAAACTCCTGTAATTCTGTGGTCAACATTCCCGGGATTCCATGGCCAAAATTCTGGGGATTCCACGCCCAAAAATTCCCGGGATTTTATGGTCAAAATTCCTGGGATTTTGTGGTCGAAATTCCCGGGATTGTCTGGTTGAAATTGCCGGGATTTTGTGGTCAAAATTGCCAGGATTCTGTCAAAATTCCTGGGATTTTGTGGTTGAAATTCCAGGGATTCCACTCCCAAAATTCCCGGGATTATGTAGTCTAAATTCCCGGGATTCTGTGGTCGGAATTCCTTTGATTCCGTGATCAGAATTCTGGTGATTCCACTCCCGAAATTCCCGGGATTTTGTGGTTGAAATTCCCTGGATTCTCTGGTCAAAATTCCCAGGATTCCACTTCTGAAATTCCCGGGATTCTGTGCTCGAAATTCCCGGGATTCTGTGCTCAAAATTCCCAGGGTTCTGTGGTCAAAATTCCTGAGATTCCACTCCCGAAATTCCCAGGATTTTGTGGTTGAAATTCATGGGATTCTGCACCCAAATTCCTGGGATTCTGTGGTCAAGATTCCCAGGATTGTGTGGTTGAAATTCCTGGGATTTCATAGCTGCAATTCCTGGGATTCTGTGGCTGAAATTCCCAGGATTCTACACCCAAATTCCTGAGATTCTGTGGTCAAAATTCCTGGAATTCTGTGGTTTAGTTCCCGGGATTCCACCCTGAATTCCTGGGATTCTATCAAAATTCCCGGGATTCTGTGGTTGAAATTCCCGGGATTCTGTGGTTGAAATTCCCGGGATTCCACAGCCGTGATTCCCGGGATTCTGTGGTTTAATTCCCGGGATTCTGTGGTTGTTATTCCTGGAATTTTGGGATCCCGGGAATTTTGGGACCCTGGGAAATTTGGGATCCCAGGGAATTTTGGGACAATCCCTCTGGCTCATCCCTGTTTCCCACCGCAGGATGAGAAGAACCAGATGATGACCACCAACGTCTGGCTGAAGCAGGTGGGATCCGGGATTTGGGATTTGGGATTTGGGGTTTGGGGTTTGGGATTTGGGATTTGGGGTTTGGGGTTTGGGGTTTGGGGTTTGGGATTTGGGGTTTGGGGTTTGGGATTTGGGGTTTGGGATTTGGGGTTTGGGATTTGGGGTTTGGGGTTTGGGGTTTGGGGTTTGGGGTTTGGGGTTTGGGGTTTGGGGTTTGGGATTTGGGATTTGGGGTTTGGGGTTTGGGATTTGGGATTTGGGATTTGGGATTTGGGGTTTGGGATTTGGGGTTTGGGATTTGGGGTTTGGGATTTGGGGTTTGGGGTTTGGGGTTTGGGATTTGGGGTTTGGGGTTTGAGATTTGGGATTTGGGGTTTGGGGTTTGGGGTTTGGGGTTTGGGGTTTGGGGTTTGGAAGTAGGATTTGGGAATCTGCCCCATGGATCCGCTCCATGGATTGGTTGCATGGATCTGCTCCATCGATCACCTCCATGGATGTTTTCCATGGATGTTTTCCATGGATGTTTTCCATGGATGTTTTCCATGGATCGTCTCCATGGATGTTTGCCATGGATGTTTCCATGGATGTTTTCCATGGATGTTTTCCATGGATGTTTTCCATGGATGTTTTCCATGGATGTTTTCCATGGATGTTTTCCATGGATGTTTTCCATGGATGGTTTCCATGGATGTTTTCCATGGATGTTTTCCATGGATGTTTTCCATGGATGTTCTCCATGGATGTTTTCCATGGACGTTTTCCATGGATGTTCTCCATGGATGTTTTCCATGGATGTTTTCCATGGACGTTTTCCATGGATGTTTTCCATGGATGTTTTCCATGGATGTTTTCCATGGATGAGCTCCATGGATCTGCTCCGTCGATCACCTCCATGGATGTTTTCCATGGATGTTTTCCATGGATGAGCTCCATGGATCTGCTCCGTCGATCACCTCCATGGATGTTTTCCGTGGATTGGCTCCATGGATGTTTTCCATGGATGTTTTCCATGGATGTTTTCCGTGGATGTTTCCCATGGATGTTTTCCATGGATGTTTCCCATGGATGTTTTCCATGGATGTTTTCCATGGATGTTTTCCGTGGATGTTTTCCATGGATGTTTTCCATGGATGGGCTCCATGGATGTTTTCCATGGATGTTTTCCATGGACGTTTTCCATGGATGTTTTCCACGGATGTTTTCCATGGATGTTTTCCACGGATGTTTTCCATGGATGTTTTCCATGGATGAGCTCCATGGATGAGCTCCATGGATGAGCTCCATGGATGTTTTCCATGGATGTTTTCCATGGATGTTTTCCATGGATGTTTTCCATGGATGTTTTCCGTGGATTGGCTCCATGGATGTTTTCCATGGATGTTTTCCATGGATGTTTCCATGGATGTTTTCCATGGATGTTTTCCATGGATGGTTTCCATGGATGTTTTCCATGGATGTTTTCCATGGATGTTTTCCGTGGATGTTTTCCATGGATGTTTTCCATGGATGTTTTCCGTGGATGTTTTCCATGGATGTTCTCCATGGATGTTTTCCATGGATGTTTTCCATGGATGTTTTCCGTGGATGTTTTCCATGGATGTTTTCCATGGATGTTTTCCGTGGATGTTTTCCATGGATGTTCTCCATGGATGTTTTCCATGGATGTTCTCCATGGATGTTTTCCATGGATGTTCTCCATGGATGTTTTCCATGGATGTTTTCCATGGATGTTTTCCATGGATGTTTCCCATGGATGTTTTCCATGGATGTTTCCCATGGATGTTTTCCATGGAAGTTTTCCATGGATTGGCTCCATGGATCCTCTCCGTCGATCCCCTCCATGGATGTTTTCCATGGATGTTTTCCATGGATGTTTTCCATGGATGTTTTCCATGGATGGGCTCCATGGATTGGGTGCATGGATCCTCTCAATCGATCCCCTCCATGGATGTTTTCCATGGATGTTTTCCATGGATGTTTTCCGTGGATGTTTTCCATGGATGGTTTCCATGGATGTTTTCCATGGATGTTTTCCATGGATGTTTTCCGTGGATGTTCTCCATGGATGTTTTCCATGGATGTTCTCCATGGATGTTTTCCATGGATGTTTTCCATGGATGTTTCCATGGATGTTTTCCATGGACAGGCTCCATGGATGTTTTCCATGGATGTTTTCCATGGATGTTTTCCATGGATGTTTTCCATGGATGTTTTCCATGGATGTTCTCCGTGGATGTTTTCCGTGGATGTTTTCCATGGGTGTTTTCCATGGATGTTTTCCATGGATGTTTTCCATGGATGGGCTCCCTCGATCACCTCCATGGATGTTTTCCATGGATGTTCTCCATGGATGTTTTCCATGGATGTTTTCCATGGATGTTTTCCATGGATGTTTTCCATGGATGTTTTCCATGGATGTTTTCCATGGATGTTGTTTTCCATGGATGTTTTCCATGGATGTTTTCCATGGATGTTTTCCATGGATGTTGTTTTCCATGGATGTTTTCCATGGATGTTTTCCATGGATGTTTTCCATGGATGTTTTCCGTGGATGTTTTCCATGGATTGGGTCCATGGATCCATCGATCACCTCCATGGATGTTTTCCATGGATATTTCCATGGATGTTTTCCATGGATGTTTTCCATGGATGTTTTCCATCAATCTCCTCCATGGATGTTTTCCATGGATGTTTTCCATGGATGTTTTCCATGGATGTTTTCCATGGATGGTTTCCATGGATGTTTCCCATGGATGTTTTCCATGGATGTTTCCATGGATGTTTTCCATGGATGGTTTCCATGGATTGGCTCCATGGATATTTCCATGGATATTTTCCACGGATGGTCCCGCCGTGTCCCGGCAGGAGTGGAGTGACTACAAGCTGCGCTGGGATCCGGCGGAGTTCGACAACGTCACCTCCATCCGTGTCCCCTCCGAGATGATCTGGATCCCCGACCTCGTCCTCTACAACAAGTCAGTGCCGCTGCCGGCACCGGGAATTCCTGGGAGAGACGGGAATTCCTGGGATAGACGGGAATTCCTGGAATAGCCGGGAATTCCTGGGATAGACGGGAATTCCTGGGATAGGCGGGAATTCCTGGGAAAGCTGGGAATTCCTGGGACAGCCGGGAATTCCTGGGAGAGCCGGGAATTCCTGGGAGAGCCAGGAATTCCTGGGACAGACGGGAATTGCTGGGATAGCTGGGAATTCCTGCGATAGCCGGGGATTCCTGGGATAGCCGGGAATTCCTGGGATAGGCGGGAATTCCCTAAATCCCCTTCCCTAAATCACTTCCCTTTGCTTCCCATTGCTTCAGTTCCCATGATCCCATCCCATTATCTCATGATCCTGTCCCATGGATCCCATCCCATGGATCCCATTGGTCCCATCTCATTCATCCCATCCATCCCATGGATCCCATCCCATCCCATGGATCCCATCCCATGGATCCCATTATCCCATTATCCCATCCCACCTTCATCCCTTCTCCAACCAAAGCTCATCCCAAAGCTCATCCCAAAGCTCATCCCAAGACTCATCCCAAAGCTCATCCCAACACTCATTCCAAGACTCATTCCAAGACTCATCCCAAGGCCATTCCCGACCATCCCTGACCATCCCTGACCATCCCTGACCATCCCTGACCATCCCTGACCATCCCTGACCCTCCCTGACCATCCCTGACCATCCCTGACCCTCCCTGACCCTCCCTGACCATCCCTGACCATCCCTGACCATCCCTGACCATCCCTGACCATCCCTGACCATCCCTGACCATCCCTGACCATCCCTGACCATCCCTGACCATCCCTGACCATCCCTGACCATCCCTGACCGTTCCCACCATTCCGTGTTCCAGCGCCGACGGCGAGTTCGCAGTGAGGCACATGACCAAGGCCCACCTGTTCTCCTGTCCCATCCCATGGATCCCATCCCATCCCATGGATCCCATCCCATCCCATGGATCCCATCCCATGGATCCCATCCCATGGATCCCATCCCATGGATCCCATCCCATCCCATGGATCCCATCCCATCCCATGGATCTCATCCCATGGATCCCATCCCATGGATCCCATCCCATGGATCCTATCCCATGGATCCATCCCATCTCATGGATCTCATCCCATGGAACCCATCTCATCCCATGGATCCCATCCCATGGATCCCATCCCATGGATCCCATTATCCCATTATCCCATCCAACCTTCATCCCTTCTCCAACCAAAGTTCATCCCAAGACTCATCCCAAGACTCATCCCAAAGCTCATCCCAAGGCCATTCCTGACCATCCCTGACCATCCCTGACCATCCCTGACCATCCCTGACCATCCCTGACCATCCCTGACCATCCCTGACCATTCCTGACCATCCCTGACCCTCCCTGACCCTCCCTGACCATCCCTGACCATCCCTGACCATTCCTGACCCTCCCTGACCATCCCTGACCATCCCTGACCATCCCTGACCATCCCTGACCATCCCTGACCATCCCTGACCATCCCTGACCATCCCTGACCATCCCTGACCATCCCTGACCATCCCTGACCCTCCCTGACCATCCCTGACCATCCCTGACCATCCCTGACCATCCCTGACCATTCCTGACCCTTCCTGACCATCCCTGATGGTTCCTGACCATCCCTGACCATCCCTGACCATCCCTGACCCTCCCTGACCATCCCTGACCATCCCTGACCATCCCTGACCATCCCTGACCATCCCTGACCATCCCTGACCATCCCTGACCATCCCTGACCCTCCCTGACCATCCCTGACCCTCCCTGACCATCTCTGACCATTCCCGACCATCCCTGACCATCCCTGACCCTCCCTGACCATCCCTGACCCTCCCTGACCATCCCTGACCCTCCCTGACCATCCCTGACCCTCCCTGACCCTCCCTGACCGTTCCTGACCATCCCTGACCGTCCCTGACCATCCCTGACCATCCCTGACCATCCCTGACCATCCCTGACCATCCCTGACCATCCCTGACCCTCCCTGACCCTCCCTGACCGTTCCTGACCATCCCTGACCATCCCTGACCATCCCTGACCATCCCTGACCATCCCTGACCATCCCTGACCATCCCTGACCATCCCTGACCCTCCCTGACCATCCCTGACCATCCCTGACCATCCCTGACCCTCCCTGACCATCCCTGACCATCCCTGACCATCCCTGACCATCCCTGACCCTCCCTGACCCTCCCTGACCATCCCTGACCCTCCCTGACCCTCCCTGACCATCCCTGACCATCCCTGACCCTCCCTGACCATCCCTGACCATCCCTGACCATCCCTGACCATCCCTGACCATCCCTGACCATCCCTGACCATCGCTGACCGTTCCTGACCATCTCTGACCATCCCTGACCCTCCCTGACCATCCCTGACCCTCCCTGACCATCCCTGACCATCTCTGACCGTTCCTGACCGTTCCTGACCATCCCTGACCATCCCTGACCCTCCGTGACCATCCCTGACCATCCCTGACCATCCCTGACCCTCCCTGACCATTCCTGACCATCCCTGTCCATCCCTGACCATCCCTGACCATCCCTGACCATCCCTGACCATCCCTGACCATCCCTGACCATCCCTGACCATCCCTGACCATCCCTGACCCTCCCTGACCGTTCCTGACCATCCCTGACCATCCCTGACCATTCCTGACCATCCCTGACCATCCCTGACCATCCCTGACCATCCCTGACCATTCCTGACCATCCCTGACCCTTCCTGACCAGCCCTGACCATCCCTGACCATCCCTGACCATCCCTGACCATCCCTGACCCTTCCTGACCATCCCTGACCATCCCTGACCATCCCTGACCGTTCCTGACCATCCCTGACCATCCCTGTCCATCCCTGACCATTCCCACCATCCCTGACCCTCCCTGACCATCCCTGACCATCCCTGACCATCCCTGACCCTCCCTGACCATCCCTGACCCTCCCTGACCATCCCTGACCATCCCTGACCATCCCTGACCATCCCTGACCGTTCCTGACCATCCCTGACCATCCCTGACCCTCCCTGACCATCCCTGACCATCCCTGACCATCCCTGACCATCCCTGACCCTTCCTGACCATCCCTGACCATCCCTGACCATCCGTGACCATCCCTGACCATCCCTGACCATCCCTGACCCTCCCTGACCCTCCCTGACCATCCCTGACCATCCCTGACCATCTCTGACCATCCCTGACCGTCCCTGACCATCCGTGACCCTCCCTGACCATCCCTGTCCATCCCTGACCATCCCTGACCATCCCTGACCATCCCTGACCATCCCTGACCGTCCCTGACCATCCCTGACCATCCCTGACCATCCCTGACCATTCCTGACCCTTCCTGACCATCTCTGACCGTTCCTGACCATCCCTGTCCATCCCTGACCATCCCTGACCATCCCTGACCATCCCTGACCATTTGTGACCATCCCTGACCATCCCTGACCATCCCTGTCCATCCCTGACCATCCCTGACCATCCCTGACCATCCCTGACCATTTGTGACCATCCCTGACCATCCCTGACCATCCCTGACCATTCCCTGACCATTCCTGACCATCCCTGACCATCCCTGACCGTTCCCACCATTCCGTGTTCCAGCGCCGACGGCGAGTTCGCGGTGCGGCACATGACCAAGGCCCACCTGTTCTCCTGTCCCATCCCATGGATCCCATCCCATGGATCCCATCCCATGGGTCCCACCCCATGGGTCCCATCCCATGGATCCCATCCCATGGATCCCATCCCATGGATCCCATCCCATGGATCCCATCCCATGGATCCCATCCCATGGATCCCATCCCATCCCATGGATCCCATCCCATGGATCCCATCCCATGGATCCCATCCCATGGATCCCATCCCATCCCATGGATCCCATCTCATTCATCCCATCCATCCCACTGATCCCATCCCATTATCCCACCCCATCCCATTGATCCCATTGATCCCATTGATCCCATCTCATTTATCCCATCCCATTATCCCATCCATCCCATTGATCCCATTATCCCATTATCCCATCCCACCTTCATCCCTTCTCCAACTAAGTCTCATCCCAAGGCCCATCCCAAGACTGATCCTGAGGCCATTCCTGACCATCCCTGACCATTCCCTGTTTTCCAGTGCCGATGGCAAGTTCACCATGACCCACATGACCAAAGCCCACCTGTTCTTCTGTCCCATAATCCCATTATCCCATTATCCCATTATCCCATTATCCCATTATCCCATGGATCCCATTATCCCATGGATCCCATTTTGTGGATCCATTTATCTCATCCCATTATCCCATCCCATCCCATCCCATCCGTCCCATTATCCCATCCCACCTTCATCCCTTCCACAACCAAAGCTCATCCCAAGGCCCATCCCAAAGCTCATCCCAGAGCCCATCCCAAAACTCATCTCAAAGCTCATCCCAAGACCATTCCCGACCATCCCTGACCGTTCCCACCATTCCGTTTTCCAGCGCCGACGGCGAGTTCGCGGTGCGGCACATGACCAAGGCCCACCTGTTCTCCTGTCCCATCCCATGATCCCATCCCATGGATCCCATCCCATCCCATGGATCCCATGGATTCCATCCCATCCCATGGATCCCATCCCATGGATCCCATCCCATGGATCCCAACCCATCCCATGGATCCCATCCCATCCCATGGATCCCATCCCATGGATCCCATCCCATGGATCCCATCCCATGGATCCCATCCTATCCCATCCCATGGACACCATCCCATGGATCCCTTTCCACGGATCCCATCCCATGGATCCCATGGATCCCATCTCATGGATCCCATCCCATGGATCCCATCCCATGGATCCCATCCCATGGATCCCATCCCATGGATCCCATCCCATGGATCCCATCTCATGGATCCCAAGGATCTCATCCCAAGGATCTCATCCCATGGATCCCATCCCATGAATCCCATCCCATGGATCCCATCCCATGGATCCCATGGATCCCATCCCATGGATCCCATCCCATGGATCCCATGCATCCCGTCCCATGGATCCCATGGATCCCATCCCATGGATCCCATCCCATGGATCCCATCCCATCCCATGGATCCCATCCCATGGATCCCATCCCATGGATCCCATGGATCCCATCCCATGGATCCCATCCCATGGATCCCATCTCATGGATCCCATCCCATCTCATGGATCCCATCCCATGGATCCCATCCCATGGATCCCATTATCCCATTATCCCATCCAACCTTCATCCCTTCTCCAACCAAAGTTCATCCCAAGACTCATCCCAAAGCTCATTCCAAGGTCATTCCCGACCATCCCTGACCATCCCTGACCATTCCCACCATCCCTGACCATCCCTGACCATCCCTGACCATCCCTGACCGTTCCCACCATTCCGTTTTCCAGCGCTGACGGCGAGTTCGCAGTGAGGCACATGACCAAGGCCCACCTGTTCTCCTGTCCCATCCCATGGATCCCATCCCATGGATCCCATCCCATGGATCCCATCCCATCCCATCCCATGGGTCCCATCCCATCCCATGGATCCCATCCCATGGATCCCATCCCATGGGTCCCATCCCATCCCATGGATCCCATCCCATGGATCCCATCCCATGATCCCATCCCATGATCCCATCCCATTCCATGGATCCCATCCCATGGATCCCATCCCATGGATCCCATCCCATGGATCCCATCCCATGGATCCCATCCTATCCCATCCCATGGACACCATCCCATGGATCCCATCCCATGGGTCCCATCCCATCCCATCCCATGGATCCCATTATCCCATTATTCCATCCAACCTTCATCCCTTCTCCAACCAAAGTTCATCCCAAGACTCATCCCAAGACCATTCCCGACCATCCCTGACCATCCGTGACCCTCCCTGACCATCCCTGACCATTCCCAACCATTCCCAACCGTTCCCGACCATCCCTGACCGTTCCCACCGTTCCGTTTTCCAGCGCCGACGGCGAGTTCGCGGTGCGGCACATGACCAAGGCCCACCTGTTCTCCTGTCCCATCCCATGATCCCATCCCATGGATCCCATCCCATGGATCCCATCCCATGGATCCCATTATCCCATTGTCCCATCCAACCTTCATCCCTTCTCCAACCAAAGTTCATCCCAAGACTCATCCCAAGACTCATTCCAAGACTTATCCCAAAGCTCATCCCAAGGCCATTCCTGACCATTCCTGACCATTCCCACGGATCCCATCCCATGGATCCCATCCCCATCCCATGGATCCCATCCCATGGATCCCATCCCATCCCATCCCATGGATCCCATCCCATGGATCCCATTCCATGGATCCCATCCCATGGATCCCATCCCATGGATCCCATCCCATCCCATGGATCCCATTATCCCATTATTCCATCCAACCTTCATCCCTTCTCCAACCAAAGTTCATCCCAAGGTTCATCCCAAGACTCATCCCAAGGTTCATCCCTGACCATCCCTGACCATCCCTGACCATTCCCAACCATTCCCAACCATTCCCGACCATCCCTGACCGTTCCCACCGTTCCGTTTTCCAGTGCCGACGGCGAGTTCGCGGTGCGGCACATGACCAAGGCCCACCTGTCCTGGGACGGGACGGTCACCTGGGTGCCACCGGCCATCTACAAGAGCTCCTGCAGCATCGACGTCACCTTCTTCCCCTTCGACCAGCAGAGCTGCAAGATGAAGTTCGGCTCCTGGACCTACGACAAGGCCAAGATCGACCTGGAGAACATGGACCACCAGGTGGACCTGAAGGACTACTGGGAGAGCGGCGAGTGGGCCATCATCAACGCCGTGGGCACCTACAACTCCAAGAAGTACGACTGCTGCACGGAGATCTACCCCGACATCACCTTCTACTTCGTCATCCGCCGCCTGCCGCTCTTCTACACCATCAACCTGATCATCCCGTGCCTGCTCATCTCCTGCCTGACCGTGCTGGTCTTCTACCTGCCCTCGGACTGCGGCGAGAAGATCACGCTCTGCATCTCCGTGCTGCTGTCCCTCACCGTGTTCCTGCTGCTCATCACCGAGATCATCCCCTCCACCTCGCTGGTCATCCCGCTGATCGGCGAGTACCTGCTCTTCACCATGATCTTCGTCACGCTCTCCATCGTCATCACCGTCTTCGTGCTCAACGTGCACCACCGCTCGCCGGGCACGCACGCCATGCCGCGGTGGGTGCGCGGGGTGTTCCTCGGCGCCGTGCCGCGCTGGTTGGCCATGAAGAGGCCACCGCCCGTGGTGGTGGTGCCGCCCGAGGGGACGGGGACGCGGCTCAGCGCGTCCCGCTGCTGGCTGGAGACCGACGTGGACGACAAGTGGCACGAGGAGGACGAGGAGGAGGAGGAGGAGGAGGAGGAGGAGGAGAAGACCTGTCCCAACCACCCCGCGGAACCCGAGGAGAAGCGGTTCCACCACGGCCGAGGCGGGAAAGGATCAGCGGCCAAGTTGGCCAAGGAGAAGAAGAAGAAGGAGGAGGAGGAGGAGGAGGAGGAGGAGGAGGAGGAAGGCTCGGAGCGGGGCCTGGCGCTGTCCCCCAGGGTGATGAAGGCCCTGGAAGGGGTTCAGTACATCGCCGACCACCTGCGGGCCGAGGACGCCGACTTCTCCGTGAGTTCTGGAGCCGTGGGTGGGGCTGGAGGGCCCAAATTGGGAATGGGGGTTATGGGATCTACAAATGGGGCTGGAGATCCCAAAATTGGGAATGGAAAATTTGGGATCTACAAGTGGGACTGGAGATCCCAAAATTGGGAAGAGAAGATTTGGGATCTGTGGATGGGACTGGAGAACCCAAAAATTGGGAATGGGAATTCTGGGATCCATGGGTGGGGCTGGAGATCCCAAAATTGGGAATGGGGGTTCTGGGATCCAGTTTTGATTTTTGAGGACCCAAAATTGGGAAGGGAAAATCTGGGATCTACAAGTGGGGCTGGAGATCCCAAAATTGGGAAGGGAAGATTTGGGATCTGTGGGTGGGACCAGAGATCCCAAAATTGGGAATGGAAAATTTGGGATCTACAAATGGGGCCGGAGATCCCAAAATTGGGAATGGCGGTTCTGGGATCAACAAGTGGGGCTGGAGATCCCAAAATTGGGAAGAGAAGATTTGGGATCTGTGGATGGGGCTGGAGAACCCAAAATTGGGAAGAGAAGATTTGGGATCTGTGGATGGGGCTGGAGAACCCAAAATTGGGAATGGGGGTTCTGGGATCCAGTTTTGATTTTTGAGGACATCCCAAAATTGGGAAGTTCGGGGAACTGGGGATGGGGTTGGAGATCCCAAAATTGGGAATGGGGGTTCTGGGATCTGCGGGTGGGGCTGGAGATCCCAAAATTGGGAATGGAAAATTTGGGATTCATGGAGGGTCCCTAAGATCCCAAAATTGGGAAAGGGAAGTTCTGGGATCCTTGGATGGGGCTGGAGATCCCAAAATTGGGAATGGCGGTTCTGGGATCCATGGGTGGGGCTGGAGATCCCAAAATTGGGAATGGAAGTTCTGGGATCTACAAGTGGGGCTGGAGATCCCAAAATTGGGAAAGGGGGTTCTGGGATCCATGGGTGGAGATCCCAAAATTGGGAATGGGGGTTCTGGGATCTACAAATGGAGCTGGAGATCCCAAAAATTAGGAAGGGAAGATTTGGGATCTGTGGATGGGGCTGGAGATCCCAAAATTGGGAATGGCGGTTCTGGGATCTACAAATGGGGCTGGAGATCCCAAAATTAGGAAGGGCAGTTCTAGGATCCACTGATTGTTCCGGAGATCCCAAAATTAGGAAGGGAAATTCTGGGATCCACGGATTGTTCCGGAGATCCCAAAATTGGGAAGGGAAATTCATGGATCTACAAATGGGGCTGGAGATCCCAAAATTGGGAATGGGGGTTCTGCGATCCACGGATTGTTCCGGAGATCCCAAAATTGGGAAGGGAAGTTCATGGATCTACAAATGGAGCTGGAGATCCCAAAATCGGGAAGGGCTGTTCCGGCATCCGTGGTTGGTTCCCGAGCCCCCAAAACCAGGGAGAAGATCCATGATCCATCTCCCACCTCCGTGGACACTCCCCCACCTCAGGATTCCTCGGAAAACCCGGACTGAGGAGATTCCCGGGAATCCCGGGTGGTCTCCTGATCCCGGGAGATTCCCGGGAAGGGATTCCATTCCCACGGGATTTTCCCGCCGGCAGGTGAAGGAGGACTGGAAGTACGTGGCCATGGTGATCGACCGGATCTTCCTCTGGATCTTCATCATCGTCTGCCTGCTGGGCACCGCGGGGCTCTTCCTGCCGCCCTACCTGGCCGGGATGATCTAGGACCGGGAATTTGGGGAATTTTGGGGATTTTGGGAATTTTGGGAATGCTGGGAATGGTGGTGGCCGCGTCCCGCCGGACGCCGGTGGGGAGGTGGAGATGTGGGAGAACCTCCAGCGGGAACGGAGGGCGGAGAAAGGGATGGGGTGAGGTGGTGGTGACCGGCCGGGGGTGTCGTGGTCCCAACATCCCATAATCCTGTGATCCCGTAATCCCAAAATCCCACCATCCCAAGATCCCAGGAAACTGTGGGACAGGGATCGTGTGGATGGTCCGTGCAGAAGAACATGGACTTGATCCCATAATCCCATGATCCCACAATCCCATGATCCCACCATCCCAAGATCCCAGGAGGTTGTGGGACAGGGATCATGTGGATGGTCCATGCAGAAGGAACATGGACTTGATCCCACAATCCCATGATCCCATGATCCCACAATCCCATGATCCCACAATCCCATGATCCCACAATCCCATGATCCCAGGAGGTTGTGGGACAGGGATAACGCTCTGGATGGTCCGTGCAGAAGGGATTTGGACATGATCCCATAATCCCAGGATCCCAAAATCCCATAAACCTATGATCCCATAATCCCATGATCCCATAATACCCTGATCCCATAATCCCAAGATCCCAGGAGGTTGTGGGACAGGGATCATGTGGATGGTCTGTGCAGAAGGAACATGGACTTGATCCCACAATCCCATGATCCCACAATCCCATGATCCCACAATCCCATGATCCCATAATCCCATGGTCCCACTATCCCAAGATCCCAGGAAGTTGTGGGCCAGGGATAACGCTGTGGATGGTCTGTGGAGAAGGGACACGGAGATGATCCCATAATCCCATGATCCCAAAATCCCATAAACCCATGGTCCCATGATCCTGTGATCCCACAATCCCATGATCCCATAATCTCATCATCCCAGGAAGTTTTGGGACTGGGATAACGCTGTGGATGGTCCGTGCAGAAGGGACACAGAGATGATCCCACAATCCCATGGTCCCACCACCCCATGATCCCACAATCCCATGATCCCACAATCCCATGATCCCACAATCCCATGATCCCAGGAAGGTGTGGGACAGGGAGAACACTTTGGATGGTCTGTGCAGAAGGAACATGGACTTGATCCCATAATCCCATGATCCCACAATCCCATGATCCCATAATCCCATGATTCCCAGGAGTTTGTGGGACAGGGATAACGCTGTGGATGGTCCGTGCAGAAGGGACACAGAGATGATCCCATGATCCCCAAATCCCATAAACCCTTGGTCCCATAATCCGTGATCCCATAATCCCATGATCCCACAATCCCGTGATCCCACAATCCCATCATCCCACAATCCCATGATTCCAGGAAGTTTTGGGACAGGGATAACGCTGTGGATGGTCGGTGGAGAAGGAATTTGGACCTGATCCTATAATCCCCTGATCCCATAATCCGTGATCCCAAGATCCCAGGAGGTTGTGGGACAGGGATCGTGTGGATGGTCCATGCAGGATGAACATGGACTTGATCCCACAATCCCATGATCCCATAATCCCGTGATCCCATAACCCCATGGTCCCACAATCCCGTGATCCCACAATCCCATGATCCCATAATCTCATCATCCCAGGAAGTTGTGGGACAGAGATAACGCTCTGGATGGTCCATGCAGAAGGGACACAGAGATGATCCCATAATCCCATGATCCCACAATCCCATGATCCCAGGAGGTTATGGGACAGGGAGAACACTTTGGATGGTCTGTGGAGAAGGAACATGGACTTGATCCCATAATCCCATGATCCCATAATCCCGTGATCCCAACATCCCATGATTCCCAGGAGGTTGTGGGACAGGGATTGTGTGGATGGTCCATGCAGAAGGAACATGGATGTGATCCCATAATCTTGTGATCCCATAATCCCATGATCCCAGGAAGGTGTGGGACAGGGATAACGCTGTGGATGGTCTGTGGAGAGGGAATTTGGACCTGATCCTATAATCCCCTGATCCCATAATCCCACAATCCCAGGAAGTTGTGGGACAGGGATTATGTGGATGGTCCGTGCAGAAGGAACATGGACTTGATCCCACAATCCCATGATCCCACAATCCCATGATCCCACAATCCCATGATCCCACAATCCCATGATCCCACAATCCCATGATCTCGCAATCCCATGATCCCATAATCCCATGATCCCATAATCCCACAATCCCAAGAAGTTGTGGGACAGGGATTATGTGGATGGTCCATGCAGAAGGGACACGGAGATGATCCCATAATCCCCTGATCCCAAAATCCCATAAACCCATGGTCCCATGATCCTGTGATCCCACCATCCCATGATCCCACAATCCCATGATCCGAGGAAATTGTGGGACAGGATATGTGGATGGTCCGTGCAGAAGGAACATGGACTTGATCCCATAATCCCATGATCCCACAATCCCGTGATCCCAGGAAGTTGTGGGACAGGGAGAACACTTTGGGTGGCCTGTGGAGAAGGAATTTGGACCTGATCCTATAATCCCATGATCCCAGAATCCCATGATCCCACAATCCCATGATCCCACAATCCCATGATCCCACAATCCCATGATCCCACGATCCCACAATCCCACGATCCCACAATCCCATGATCCCACAATCCCATGGTCCCATAATCCCATGATCCCACAATCCCATGGTCCCACAATCCCATGATCCCACAATCCCATGGTCCCATAATCCCATGATCCCATAATCCCGTGATCCCACAATCCCCTGATCCCATAATCCCGTGATCCCACCATCCCAAGATCCCAGGAGGTTGTGGGACAGGAGCTCCGTCACTCCGGGGGATGGGTTTTACCGGGACGCCGCTAAAATCTGGGAATTATGGAATTCCTTGGCTTGGGAAAGCTCTCGGAGATGGGGTCCAAGCGCTGCCGGCGTGTCCCACCAAATCCACCAGGATTTAAATCCATCGGGAACGGGGAAAACCTCTCCGTGCGGGAATGATCCCAAATATCCCATCAATAATTCCCAAAATCCCGCAAACCTCCCCTGGTACGGCTGTTCCCCCTCATCCCATCCCGCGTTCCCCGCGAGAAGATCCCGATCCCACCCGGCTCCACCCTGGAGGGAGACGATCCCTCCAGATCCTCCTTTTTCCCGGGATTTTTCCCATCTCCGGCTGCTCCATCCCTTTCCCTGGACACGCTCCAGCCCCTCGGAATCCTTGGAATGAGAGGCCACCGCCCCAAATTCCGGGGAATTTTTGGGGAAGCCGCACTTTGGGCACGGGAATCTCATCCCATTCCATGGGCAATTCCATTCCCACCATCCCGAGAAATCTCCTTGGTCATCCCAACCCTTCCAATTCCCGAGGAATCCGTTCCTCTTCCCACGGGAATTCCGGAGGGATGACAGGAAGGACAGGGAATGGCGGGGTTGGACCATCCCAACCCTTCCAGATCCCGAGGAATCCGTTCCTCTTCCCACGGGAATTCCGGAGCGATGACAGGACCGGGAATGGTGGGATTGGACCATCCCAACCCTTTTAATTCCCGAGAAAACCGTTCCTCTTCCCACGAATTCCGGAGGAAGGACAGGGAATGGTGGGATTGGACCATCCCAACCCTTTTAATTCCCGAGGAATCCGTTCCTCTTCCCATGGGAATTCCGGAGGGATGACAGGACAGGGAATGGTGGGATTGGACCATCCCAACCCTTTTAATTCCCGAGGAAACCGTTCCTCTTCCCACGGGAATTCCGGAGGAAGGACAGGAAGGACAGGGAATGGCGGGGTTGGACCATCCCAACCCTTCCAGATCCCAGGAAACCGTTCCTCTTCCCACGGGAATTCCGGAGGGATGACAGGGAATGGCGGGGTTGGACCTTCCCAACCCTTCCAGTTCCCGAGGAAACCGTTCCTCTTCCCACGGGAATTCCGGAGCCATGACAGGACCGGGAATGGTGGGGTTGGACCATCCCAACCCTTTTAATTCCCGAGGAAACCGTTCCTCTTCCCACGGGAATTCCGGAGGGATGACAGGACAGGGAATGGTGGGGTTGGACCATCCCAACCCTTCCAGATCCTGAGGAAACCGTTCCTCTTCCCACGGGAATTCCGGAGGGATGACAGGACAGGGAATGGTGGGGTTGGACCTTCCCAACCCTTTTAATTCCCAAGGAATCCGTTCCTCTTCCCACGGGAATTCCGGAGGGATGACAGGACCGGGAATGGTGGGGTTGGACCATCCCAACCCTTCCAGTTCCCAGGAAACCGTTCCTCTTCCCACGGGAATTCCGGAGGGATGAAGGACCGGGAATGGCGGGGTTGGACCATCCCAACCCTTTTAATTCCCGAGGAATCCGTTCCTCTTCCCACGGGAATTCCGGAGGAATGACAGGGAATGGTGGGATTGGACCATCCCAACCCTTCCAGTTCCCGAGGAAACCGTTCCTCTTCCCACGGGAATTCCGGAGGAATGACAGGACCGGGAATTTCGGGGTTGGACCATCCCAACCCTTTTAATTCCCGAGGAAACCGTTCCTCTTCCCACGGGAATTCCGGAGCCATGACAGGACAGGGAATGGCGGGGTTGGACCATCCCAACCCTTCCAGTTCCCAGGAAACCGTTCCTCTTCCCACGGGAATTCCGGAGGGATGACAGGACAGGGAATGGTGGGATTGGACCATCCCAACCCTTCCAGATCCTGAGGAAACCGTTCCGATTCCCATGGGAATTCCGGAGGGATGACAGGACCGGGAATGGCGGGGTTGGACCATCCCAACCCTTTTAATTCCCGAGGAAACCGTTCCTCTTCCCACGGGAATTCCGGAGGGATGACAGGACCGGGAATGGCGGGGTTGGACCATCCCAACCCTTCCAGATCCCGAGGAAACCGTTCCTCTTCCCACGGGAATTCCGGAGCCATGACATCAAGGACAGGACACAATTTGGCGCACGGTTTATCTCAGCCGGAAAACAAAAAAAATCTGGGAAAACTGCGGGAAAAACGCTGCGGGAAAAGCCGGAACCGCCCGATTCCCAACCGGAACCGCGGCTTTGCCGGAGCGGCGCTGGCACAAAAATCGGGAATAACGCGGCTGGAAGAGGCGCCGTTCTCCGGGATTGCGTCCCCGCCTCAACTCCGAAACTCCCTCCCCGAAATTCCACCGGATCCATAAATAAAACCTTCCGAGGGAAACGCCGGACACGGGAATTCCGATTTTTCCCCCCCAAAAATCCCAAAATCCGCAAATCCTCAAGCTCGGAGGACAAATCCGGGAATGGATCCCACCATCTCCTTCCCCAATCCCCCAAATCCCAACTTTTCCTTGGAAAACTCCATTTTCCGAAGAGCGACGCGACGCTGGACGAACACGAGCGGGAAAAACGACGCACAGAGAAGCCGATTCCTCCCGGATCCGGACGGATTTTTTTGGAATTTTTTCCCTCCTCTTGGTCATTCCGAGCAGGGCTTGGCCAGCCGGGCCTGGAGCTTGGCCTGGTCCACGGCGTCCAGCAGGTTCTTGGCGTCCACGGCCAAGGCGTGCGCCGCCGTCAGCATCTGCCGCCGGAACTCCGCGCCCAGCGAGGTGCCGGAATTCTGCTGCGCCAGCCGCGTCTTGCCGATCAGGTTGGCCAAGTCCTTGTTGAGGAGCTTCTGGGTGCCCTCGATCTGCCAGGGGTTTTTGGGTTTTTTTGGGTTTTTTGGGGGTTTTTTTGGTGTTTTTTTGGGAATTTGGAGCGGGATTTGTGGGAATGGTGATGCCCAACCCGACCGTGGAGTTCCTACCTCGATCTGCGAGGGGTTTTTGGGTTTTTTGGGAATTCAGAGTGGGATTTGTGGGAATGGTGACGCCCAACCCAACCGTGGAGCTCCTACCTCGATCTGCCAGGGGTTTTTTTGGGTTTTTTGGGGGTTTTTTGGGAATTCAGAGTGGGATTTGTGGGAATGGTGACGCCCAAACCAACCGTGGAGTTCCTACCTCGATCTGCGAGGGGTTTTTGGGTTTTTTGGGGGTTTTTTGGGAATTTAGAGAGGGATTTGTGGGAATGGTGATGCCCAACCCGACCGTGGAGTTCCTACCTCGATCTGCCAGGGGTTTTTTGGGGGTTTTTTTGGGGGTTTTTTGGGAATTTGGAGAGGGATTTGTGGGAATGGTGATGCCCAACCCGACCGTGGAGTTCCTACCTCGATCTGCGAGGGGTTTTTTTGGGGTTTTTGGGGGTTTTTTGGGAATTTGGAGAGGGATTTGTGGGAATGGTGACACCCAACCCAACCGTAGAGTTCCTACCTCGATCTGCGAGGGAGTTTTGGGGTTTTTTTGGGTTTTTTGGGAATTCAGAGCGGGATTTGTGGGAATGGTGATGCCCAACCTGACCGCGGTGTTCCTACCTCGATCTGAGAGGGGTTTTTTGGGTTTTTTGGGGTTTTTTGGGAATTCGGAGAGGGATTTGTGGGAATGGTGATGCCCAACCCGACCGCGGAGTTCCTACCTCGATCTGAGAGGTTTTTTGGGTTTTTTGGGGGTTTTTTGGGAATTCAGAGTGGGATTTGTGGGAATGGTGATGCCCAACCCGACCGTGGAGTTCCTACCTCGATCTGCGAGGGGTTTTTTATGGATTTGGGGGTTTTTTGGGAATTTGGAGAGGGATTTGTGGGAATGGTGACACCCAACCCGACCGTGGAGTTCCTACCTCGATCTGCGAGGGGTTTTGGGTTTTTTGGGGGTTTTTTGGGAATTTGGAGTGGGATTTGTGGGAATGGTGATGCCCAACCCGACCGTGGAGTTCCTACCTCGATCTGCGAGGGGTTTTTTTGGGTTTTTTGGGGGTTTTTTTGGGAATTCAGAAAGGGATTTGTGGGAATGGTGATGCCCAACCCGACCGTGGAGTTCCTACCTCGATCTGAGAGGGGTTTTTTTATGGATTTGGGGTTTTTTTGGGAATTCAGAGCGGGATTTGTGGGAATGGTGATGCCCAACCTGACTGCGGAGTTCCTACCTCGATCTGCGAGGGGTTTTTTTGGGTTTTTTGGGGGTTTTTTGGGAATTTGGAGTGGGATTTGTGGGAATGGTGATGCCCAACCCGACCGTGGAGTTCCTACCTCGATCTGCCAGGGGTTTTTTATGGATTTGGGGGGTTTTTTGGGAATTCGGAGAGGGATTTGTGGGAATGGTGATGCCCAACCCGACCGTGGAGTTCCTACCTCGATCTGCGAGGGGTTTTTTTGGGTTTTTTGGGGGTTTCTTGGGAATTCAGGGCGGGATTTGTGGGAATGGTGACGCCCAACCCGACCGTGGAGTTCCTACCTCGATCTGTGAGGGGTTTTTTTGGGGTTTTTTGGGTTTTTTGGGAATTCGGAGTGGGATTTGTGGGAATGGTGATGACCAACCTGACCGTGGAGTTCCTACCTCGATCTGCGAGGGGTTTTTTGGGTTTTTTTGGGTTTTTTTGGGAATTCAGGGTGGGATTTGTGGGAATGGTGACGCCCAACCCGACCATGGAGTTCCTACCTCGATCTGCGAGGGGTTTTTTATGGATTTGGGGGTTTTTTGGGAATTTGGAGTGGGATTTGTGGGAATGGTGACGCCCAACCCGACCATGGAGTTCCTACCTCGATCTGCCAGGGGTTTTTTGGGTTTTTTGGGGTTTTTGGGAATTTGGAGAGGGATTTGTGGGAATGGTGACGCCCAACCCGACCGGGGAGTTCCCACCTCGATCTGTGAGGGGTTTTTTTGGGTTTTTTGGGGTTTTTTGGGAATTCAGAGCGGGATTTGTGGGAATGGTGATGCCCAACCCGACCGTGGAGTTCCTACCTCGGTGTGCGAGGGGGTTTTTATTATTTTGGGTTTTTTTTGGGAATTTGGAGAGGGATTTGTGGGAATGGCGACGCCCAACCCGACCGTGGAGTTCCTACCTCGATCTGCGAGGGGGTTTTTGGGTTTTTTGGGGGTTTTTTGGGAATTTGGAGTGGGATTTGTGGGAATGGTGATGCCCAACCCGACCGTGGAGTTCCTACCTCGATCTGCGAGGGGTTTTTTTGGGTTTTTTGGGGGTTTTTTTGGGAATTCAGAAAGGGATTTGTGGGAATGGTGATGCCCAACCCGACCGTGGAGTTCCTACCTCGATCTGAGAGGGGTTTTTTTATGGATTTGGGGTTTTTTTGGGAATTCAGAGCGGGATTTGTGGGAATGGTGATGCCCAACCTGACTGCGGAGTTCCTACCTCGATCTGCGAGGGGTTTTTTTGGGTTTTTTGGGGGTTTTTTGGGAATTTGGAGTGGGATTTGTGGGAATGGTGATGCCCAACCCGACCGTGGAGTTCCTACCTCGATCTGCCAGGGGTTTTTTATGGATTTGGGGGGTTTTTTGGGAATTCGGAGAGGGATTTGTGGGAATGGTGATGCCCAACCCGACCGTGGAGTTCCTACCTCGATCTGCGAGGGGTTTTTTGGGTTTTTTGGGGGTTTCTTGGGAATTCAGGGCGGGATTTGTGGGAATGGTGACGCCCAACCCGACCGTGGAGTTCCTACCTCGATCTGTGAGGGGTTTTTTTGGGGTTTTTTGGGTTTTTTGGGAATTCGGAGTGGGATTTGTGGGAATGGTGATGACCAACCTGACCGTGGAGTTCCTACCTCGATCTGCGAGGGGTTTTTTTGGGTTTTTTTGGGTTTTTTTGGGAATTCAGGGTGGGATTTGTGGGAATGGTGACGCCCAACCCGACCATGGAGTTCCTACCTCGATCTGCGAGGGGTTTTTTATGGATTTGGGGGTTTTTTGGGAATTTGGAGTGGGATTTGTGGGAATGGTGACGCCCAACCCAACCGTGGAGTTCCTACCTCGATCTGCGAGGGGTTTTTTGGGTTTTTTGGGGGTTTTTTGGGAATTCAGGGCGGGATTTGTGGGAATGGCGATGCCCAACCCGACCGTGGAGTTCCTACCTCGATCTGCGAGGGGTTTTTTTGGGGTTTTTTTGGGGTTTTTTGGGAATTCAGGGTGGGATTTGTGGGAATGGTGATGCCCAACCCGACCGTGGAGTTCCTACCTCGATCTGCGAGGGGGTTTAGGGTTTTTTGGGGGTTTTTTTGGGAATTTGGAGTGGGATTTGTGGGAATGGTGATGCCCAACCCGACCGGGGAGTTCCTACCTCGATCTGCGAGGGGTTTTTTGGGTTTTTTGGGGTTTTTTGGGAATTTGGAGCGGGATTTGTGGGAATGGCGATGCCCAACCCGACCGTGGAGTTCCTACCTCGATCTGCGAGGGGTTTTTTTGGGTTTTTTGGGGTTTTTGGGGGTTTTTTGGGAATTCAGGGTGGGATTTGTGGGAATGGTGATGCCCAACCCGACCGTGGAGTTCCTACCTCGATCTGCGAGGGGTTTTTTTGGGTTTTTGGGGGTTTTTTGGGAATTCAGGGAGGGATTTGTGGGAATGGTGATGCCCAACCCGACCGTGGAGTTCCTACCTCGATCTGCGAGGGGTTTTTTTGGGTTTTTTGGGGGTTTTTTGGGAATTTGGAGCGGGATTTGCGGGAATGGTGATGCCCAACCCAACCATGGAGTTCCTACCTCGATCTGCGAGGGGTTTTTTATGGATTTGGGGGGTTTTTTGGGAATTTGGAGAGGGATTTGTGGGAATGGTGACGCCCAACCCGACCGTGGAGTTCCTACCTCGATCTGAGAGGGGTTTTTTGGGTTTTTTTGGGGTTTTTTGGGTTTTTTGGGGGTTTTTTGGGAATTTGGAGAGGGATTTGTGGGAATGGTGACGCCCAACCCGACCGTGGAGTTCCTACCTCGATCTGCGAGGGGTTTTTTGGGTTTTTTGGGGTTTTTTTGGGAATTTGGAGAGGGATTTGTGGGAATGGTGACGCCCAACCCGACCGTGGAGTTCCTACCTCGATCTGCCAGGGGTTTTTTGGGTTTTTTGGGGGTTTTTTGGGAATTTGGAGAGGGATTTGTGGGAATGGTGATGCCCAACCCAACCATGGAGTTCCTACCTCGATCTGCGAGGGGTTTTTTGGGTTTTTTGGGGTTTTTTGGGAATTTGGAGTGGGATTTGTGGGAATGGTGATGCCCAACCCGACCGTGGAGTTCCTACCTCGATCTGCGAGGGGTTTTTTTGGGTTTTTTGGGGGTTTTTTGGGAATTCAGAGAGGGATTTGTGGGAATGGTGATGCCCAACCCGACCGTGGAGTTCCTAGCTCGATCTGCGAGGGGGTTTTCGGGTTTTTTGGGGTTTTTTGGGAATTCAGAGTGGGATTTGCGGGAATGGTGATGCCCAACCCGACCGTGGAGTTCCTACCTCGATCTGCGAGGGGTTTTTTGGTTTTTTGGGGGTTTTTTGGGAATTCAGAGCGGGATTTGTGGGAATGGTGATGCCCAACCCAACCATGGAGTTCCTATCTCGATCTGCGAGGGGGTTTTTGGGGTTTTTTGGGTTTTTTTTGGGAATTCAGGGTGGGATTTGTGGGAATGGTGACGCCCAACCCGACCGTGGAGTTCCTACCTCGATCTGCGAGGGGTTTTTTGGGTTTTTTGGGGTTTTTTTGGGGGTTTTTTGGGTTTTTTGGGGGTTTTTTGGGAATTTGGAGACGGATTTGGGGGAATGGTGACGCCCAACCCAACCGGGGAGTTCCTACCTCGATCTGCGAGGGGTTTTTTGGGTTTTTTGGGGGTTTTTTGGGAATTTGGAGCGGGATTTGTGGGAATGGTGATGCCCAACCCGACCGTGGAGTTCCTACCTCGATCTGTGAGGGGTTTTTGATGGATTTGGGGTTTTTTTTGGGAATTCAGAGAGGGATTTGTGGGAATGGTGACGCCCAACCCGACCGGGGAGTTCCCACCTCGGTGTGCGCAGAGCAGGGCAGGGCGGGCAGGACGGCGTCCACGCTCCCGATCAGCTTCCGCAGGGACAGGCCGATGGTCTGCGGGGAGGAGGTTGGATGGATCCAGGATGGATCCGGGGGTGGATCTGCGGTTGGATCCAGGGGTGGATCCCAGGTTGGATTCGGGGATGGATCTGGGATGGATCCGGGGTTGGATTTGGGGATGGATCCCGGAATGGATCTGGGGTTGGATCCTGGGGTGGATCCGGGGGTGGATTTAGGGATGGATCTGGGTGTGGATTTGGGGATGGATCTGGGGATGGATCCTGGAGTGGATCCAGGGATGGATTTGGAGATGGATTTAGGAATGGATCTGGGGATGGATCTAGGGATGGATCTGGGGGTGGATCCGGGGGTCGATCTGGGGATGGATTTAGGGATGGATCCAGGGTGGATTCAGGGATGGATCCAGGGAAGGGATTCAGGGATGGATTTAGGGATGGATTTAGGGATGGATCCAGGAGTGGATCTGGGGGTGGATCCAGGATGGATCCAGGGATGAATTCGGGATGGATTTCGGGATGGATTCAGATATGGATCTGGGGGTGGATCTGGGGATGGATCCGGGGATGGATTCGGGGATGGATGCAGGGATGGATTTGGGGATGGATCCAGGGGTGGATCCCGGAATGGATCCAGGGGTGGATCTGAGAATGGATATGGGGGTGGATTCAGGGGTGGATCTGGGGTTAGATTCGGGGATGGATCCCAGAATGGATCTGGGGGTCGATCCAGGATGGATTCAGGGATTGATCCTGGGGTGGATTCGGGGGTGGATCCGGGGCTGGATCTGGGAATGGATCCGGGGATGGATCCAGGGGTCGATCCAGGGTGGATCTGGGGTGGATCTGGGGGTGGATCCCGGGTTGGATTCAGAGATGGATTTAGGGATGGATCCAGGGATGGATCCGGGGGTGGATCTGGGGATGGATCCGGGGTGGATCCGGGAATGGATTCGGGGGTGGATCCAGGGTTGGATTCAGAGATGGATCCGAGGATGGATCTGGGAGTGGATCCTGGAATGGATCTGGGGGTGGATCACTGAATGGATCTGGGGGTGGATCCTGGGTTGGATTCAGAGATGGATTTAGGGATGGATCTGGGGATGGATCTGGGGATGGGTTCGGGAGTGGATCCCAGAATGGATCCTGGGGTGGATCCGGGGATGGATGTGGGGGTAGATCATGGAATGGATCTGGTGATGGATACGGGGAAGGATCCGGGGGTGGATCCAGGGATGGATCCGGGGATGGATCCGGGGGTGGATCCGGGGGTGGATTTAGGGATGGATCTGGGATGGATCCCAGGGTGGATCCGGGGTTGGATTTGGAGATGGATTTGCGGGTGGATCTTGGGGTGGATCCAGGCATGGATCCAGGGATGGATCCCGGAATGGATCTGGGGATGGATTCCGGAATGGATTTGGGGGTGGATTCGGGGATGGATCCCGGAATTGATCTGGGTGTGGATCCCGGGATGGATCTGGGAATGGATCCGGGGATGGATTTGGGGGTGGATTCAGGGATGGATTTAGGGATGGATTTCCGGATGGATCCAGGAGTGGATCTGGGGATGGATCCGGGGATGGATCCAGGGGTGGATCCGGGCTTGGATTCGGAGATGGATCCGGGATGCATCCAGGATGGATCCGGGGATGGATCCGGGGGTGAATCCCAGAATGGATCTGGGCTTGGATACAGGGTGGATCTGGGCTTGGATTCGGGGGTGGATCCTGGAATGGATCCAGGGATGGATCCTGGGGTGGATCTGGGAATGGATCCAGGTGTGGATCCCAAAATGGATCCAGGTGTGGATCCAGGGATGTGTCCTGGGGTGGATCCAGAAATGGATCTGGAATGGATTTGGGGGTGGATCCGGGGATGGATCCGGGGATGGATCCGGGGATGGATCCAGGGGTGGATCACGGGTTGGATTCAGGGATGGATCCGGGGATGGAGCTGGGAGTGGATCCCAGAATGGATCCAGGGGTCGATCCAGGCTGGATCTGGAGTGGATCCAGGGATGGATCCATGGTTGGATTCAGGGATGGATTTAGGGATGGATCTGGGGTTGGATCTGGGGATGGATTCCGGAATGGATTTGGGGGTGGATCTCGGGGTGGATCCGGGAATGGATCCGTGATGGATCTGGGGATGGATCCCACCATGGATCCAAAGATCCAGTGGATAAATTGGGAATGTTGGAGACTCTCCCACCGTGGATCCAAGGGAGGAGCCGGGAATTGGTCCAAGGATCCCATGGATCAGCCGGAAATGCGGGAATTGGGACCACCATGGATCCCATGGATCAGCCGGAAATGCGGGAATTGGGACCCCCATGGATCCCATGGATCAGCCGGAAATGCGGGAATTGCTCCCACCATGGATCCAAGGAAAACATGGAGAAGATGAAAATTTTGGAATTGGGACCATGATGGATCCAAGGATCCCATGGATCAGCCGGAAATGCGGGAATTGGGATCACCATGGATCCAAGGATAACATGGAGAAGATGAAAATTTTGGAATTGGGACCACCATGGATCCAAGGATCCCATGGATCAGCCGGAAATTTGGGAATTTCTCCCTCCCACGGACACAACCTTTTCCCACGACTCCGGGATCCGCTCGGGCCGTGGATTCCCGTCTCCCTCTCCCGTTTTCCTGCGGAATTCCGGGAATTCCGGCCCACCTTGACCACCAGGATGTATCCCTCGGGGGGCACGAGGCCGATCTCGTCCTTCAGCTCCAGCACGGCCCGGACCAGATCCGTGACGTTCCCGTAGATCCGATCGTCCGTGCGGTCCAGCCGGGCCGTGGGCGCCGCCTGCAGGGGCTGAGGGGAAATCCGGGATCGGCCGGATCCCGGGAAAACGGGAATTCCCATCCCGGGAAAAACGGGAATTCCCATCCCGGGAAAAACGGGAATTCCCATCCCGGGAAAAATGGGTGTTCCCATCCTGGGGAAAACGGGAATTCCCATCCCGGGAAAAACGGGCGTTCCCATCCTGGGGAAAACGGGAATTCCCATCCCGGGAAAAACGGGCGTTCCCATCCCGGGAAAAACGGGAATTCCCATCCCGGGAAAAACGGGAATTCCCATCCCGGGAAAAACGGGAGTTCCTATCCCGGGAAAAACGGGAATTCCCATCCCCGGAAAAACGGGCGTTCCCATCCCGGGAAAAACGGGAATTCCCATCCCCGGGAAAAACAGGAATTCCCATCCCGGGAAAACAGGAATTCCTATCCCGGGAAAAACGGGAATTCCCATCCCGGGAAAAACGGGAATTCCCATCCCGGGAAAAACGGGAATTCCCATCCCCGGGAAAAACGGGAATTCCCATCCCCGGGAAAAACGGGAATTCCCATCCCGGGAAAAACGGGAATTCCCATCCCGGGAAAAACGGGAATTCCCATCCCGGGAAAACGGGAATTCCCATCCCGGGAAAAACGGGAATTCCCATCCCGGGAAAAACGGGAATTCCCATCCCCGGGAAAAAACGGGAATTCCCATCCCCGGGAAAAAGGGGCGTTCCCATCTCAGGAAAAACGGGAATTCCCATCCCCGGAAAAACGGGCGTTCCCATCCCGGGAAAAACGGGAATTCCCATCCCGGGAAAAACGGGAATTCCCATCCCGGGAAAACGGGAATTCCCATCCCGGGAAAAACGGGAATTCCCATCCCGGGAAAAACGGGAATTCCCATCCCGGGAAAAACGGGAATTCCCATCCCGGGAAAAACGGGAATTCCCATCCCCGGAAAAACGGGAATTCCCATCCCGGGAAAAATGGGTGTTCCCATCCCGGGAAAAACGGGAATTCCCATCCCGGGAAAAACGGGAATTCCCATCCCGGGAAAAACGGGAATTCCCATCCCCGGAAAAAGTCGGGATGGGGATTGGAGAAGTCGGGAATTCCGCGCCCGTGGAACAGGGTGGGATGGGAAGTTGCTTCCCAAGGAAAGCGTTCCGGGATTTTGGGATGGAATTCCTGGAGAATTCCCGGAAGTGTCCAAGGAAAATTTGGATCACTCCGGGATCATGGGAAGTGTCCCTGGGATGGGATTGGAGCTCCATGGATCCCATCCCAAACCATTCCGGGATTCTGGGATCGAGGACGCTCAGGATCCATCCCGAGGGATTTTTATGGAATTCAGGGATGGAAAAGGGAAGGGAGACCCTTCCTGGAGTCCCGAATTCCCAGTGAAACCCCTGGATCCCAAAATTCCTTCTCCAGGAGGAATCGGGATGGGGGTGGATCCAATGCCAGGCTGGGAGAGCCGGGAATGTTCCCCTGGATCAGGGAAGGATCCAGGGAATCCTTGGAGCCGCTTCCCGATCCCAAAGGGGCTCCAGGAGAGCTGGAATTTGGGGAAGGGCTGGAGGGGCAGGAAAGGGGAGTTTGGGATTTTTGGGATTTTGGGAAGAAATTCCTGGATCCGGAGAATCTGTGGATCCTTGCGAGTGCCCAAGGAAAGGTTGGAGCATCCCAGGATTCCATGAAAATCCCTTTCCCACTCAAATCATGTTGGAATTCTTTGGGAATTCCACGATCCCGATCCCGGCCCCCGGTTCTCACCTGAGCCCCGAATCTCGGCGGCTTCCGGGGGGGCCCCGTGAATTGGGCTGCGGGAAAAGAGGGAAAATGTTCCCCCGGATCCCAAAATTTCCCAGATTCCCAAAATTTCCCTGATCCCAAAATTTCCCAGATCCCAAAATTTCCCTGATCCCAAATTTCCCAATCCCAAAATTTCCCAGATCCCAAAATTTCCCATATTCCAAAATTTCCTGGATTCCAAGACTTCCCAGCTTCCCAAAATTTCCCAGATCCCAAAATTTCCTGGATCCCAGAATTTCCCAGATCCCAAAATTTCCTAGATCCCAAAATTTCCCAGATCCAAAAATTTCCCATATCCCAAAATTTCCTAAATCCCAAAATTTCCCTGATCCCAAGAGTTCCCATCTTCCCAGAATTTCCCAGATCCCAAAATTTCCTAAATCCCAACATTTCCTGAATTCCAAAATTTTCCAGACCACAAAATTTCCCAGATCCCAAAATTTCCCAGATCCCAAAATTTCCCGGATCCCAAAATTTCGCAGCTTCCCAAAATTTCCTGGATCCCAAAATTTCCTGGATCCCAAAATTTCCCGGATCCCAAAATTTCTCGGATCCCAAAATTTCCCAGATCCCAAAATTTCCCTGATCCCAAGAGTTCCCAGCTTCCCGAAATTTCCCAGATCCAAAAATTTCCCAGATCCCAAAATTTCCCAGATCCCAAAATTTGCCGGATCCCAAAATTTGTCATATCCCAAAATTTCCCGGATCCCGAAATTTCCCGGATCCAAAAATTTCCCAATCCCAAAATTTCCCAGATCACAAAATTTCCCGGATCCCAAAATTTGCCAGACCCCAAAATTTCCCAGATCCCAAGAGTTCGCAGCTTCCCGAAATTTCCCTGATCCCAAAATTTCCCAGATCCCAAAATTTCCTGGATCCCAAGAGTTCCTGGATCCCAAAATTTCCCGGCTTCCCCAAAATGTCCCAGCTCCCAAAATTTCCCAGATCCCAAAATTTCCTGGATCCCAAAATTTCCCGGATCCCAAAGTTTCCCAGATCCCACAATTTCCCATATCCCAGAATTTCCCGGATCCCAACATTTCCCAGATCCAAAAATTTCCCGTATCCCAAAATTTCACAGCTTCCCGAAATTTCCCAGATCCAAAAATTTCCCGTATCCCAAAATTTCCCAGACCCCAAGAGTTCCCAGATCCCAAAATTTCCCAGATCCCAAGAATTCCCAGCTTCCCAAATTTCCCAGATCCCAAAATTTCCCTGATCCCGAAATTTCCCAGATCCCGAAATTTCCCGGATCCCAAAATTTGTCGTATCCCAAAACTTCCCAGATCCCAAAATTTCCCAGATCCCAAAATTTCCCAGATTCCAAAATTTCCCGGATCCCAAAATTTCCTACATCCCAACATTTCCCGGATTCCAAAATTTTCCAGACCACAAAATTTCCCGTATCCCAGAATTTCCCGGATCCCAAAATTCCCCAGATCCTAAATTTTCCGTATCCCAAAATTTCCCAACTTACCAAAATGTCCCAGATCCCAAAATTTCCCAGATCCAAAAATTTCCTGGATCCCAAAATTTCCCAGATCCCAAAATTTCCCGGATCCAAAAATTTCCCTGATCCCAAGAGTTCCCAGGTCCCAAAATTTTCTCAATCCAAAATTTCCCAGATCCCAAAATTTCCCAGTTCCCAAAATTACCCTGATCCCAAAATTTGCCCAGATCCCAAAATTTCCCGTATCCCAAGAGTTCCCAGCTTCCCAAAATTTCCCATATCCCGAAATTTCCCTGATCCCGAAATTTCCCAGATCCCAAAATGTCCCAAATCCCAAAATTTCCTGGATCCCAAAATTTCCCAGATCCCAAAATTTCCCGTATCCCAAAATTTCCCGGATCCCAAAAATTCCCAGCTTCCCAAAATTTCCTAAATCCCAAAATGTCCCAGATCCAAAAATTTCCCAGATCCCAAAATTTCCCAGATTCCAAAATTTGTTGTATCCCAAAATTTCCCGGATCCAAAAATGTCCCATATCCCAAAATTTTCCTGGATCGAAAAATTTCCCGGATCCCAAAATTTCCCAGATCCCAAAAATTCCCAGATCCAAAAATTTCCCATATCCCAAAATTTCCCAGATCCCCAAATTTCCCCGATCCCAAAATTTCTCAAATCCCAAAATTTCCCAGATCCCAAAATTTCCCAGATCCCAAAATTTGTCGTATCCGAAAATTTCCCGGATCCCAAAATTTCCCAGATCCCAAAATTTCCCGGATCCTAAAATTTCCCAGATCCCAAAATTTCCCTGATCCCGAAATTTCCCGTATGCCAAAATTTCCCATATTCCAAAATTTCCCAGATCCCAAAATTTCCCAGATCCCAAAATTTCCCAGATCCCAAAATTTCCCAGCGTCCCAAAATTTCGCAGATCACAAAATTTCCTAAATCCCAGAATTTCCCACATCCCAAAATTTCCCGAATCCCAAAATTTCCCGGATCCCAAAATTTGCCAGACCCCAAAATTTCCCTAATCCCAAGAGTTCGCAGCTTCCCGAAATTTCCCAGATCCCAAAATTTCCCAGCTTCCCAAAATTTCCTAAATCCCAAGAGTTCGCAGCTTCCCAAAATTTCACGGATCCCAAAATTTCCAGATCCCAAAATTTCCCAGATCCTAAAATTTCCCAGATCCCAAAACTTCCCAGATCCCAAAATTTCCCAGATCCCAAAAATTCCCAGCTTCCCAAAATTTCCTAAATCCCAAGAGTTCCCAGCTTCCCAAAATTTCACGGATCCCAAAATTTCCAGATCCCAAAATTTCCCAGATCCTAAAATTTCCCAGATCCCAAAACTTCCCAGATCCCAAAATTTCCCAGATCCCAAAAATTCCCTGATCCCAAAATTTCCCGGATCCCAACATTTCCCCGATCCCAAGAATTCCCATATCCCAAAATTTCCCAGATCCCAAAATTTCCCGGGTCCCAAAATTTCCCAGATCCCAAAATTTCCCGGATCCCAAAAATTTCCCAGATCCCAAAATTTCCCAGATCCCAAAATTTCCCGGGTCCCAAAATTTCCCAGATCCCAAAATTTCCCGGGTCCCAAAATTTGCCGTATCCCAAAATTTCCCAATCCCAAAATTTCCCAGATCCCAAAATTTCCCAGATCCCAAAATTTCCCGGATCCCAAAATTTCCCAGCTTCCCAAAGTTTCCCGGATCCCAAAATTTCCCGGATCCAAAATTTCCCAGCTTCCCAAAATTTCCCAGATCCCAAAATTTCCCTGATCCCAAAATTTAGTGGGTCCCAAAATTTCCCGGATCCCAAAATTTCCCAGATCCCAAAATTTCCCAGCTCCCAAAATTTCCCAGATCCCAAAATTTCCCGGATCCAAAAATCTCCCAGATCCCAAAATTTCCCGTGTCCCAAAATTTCTCAAATCCAAAAATTTCCCGTATCCCAAAATTTCCCAGATCCCAAAATTTCCCAATCCTAAAATTTCCTAAATCCCAAAATTTCCCTGATCCCAAAATTTCCCGGATCCCAAAATTTCCCTGATCCAAAAATTTCCCAGATCCCAGAATTTCCTAAATCCCAAGAGTTTGCAGCTTCCCAAAATTTCTCGGATCCCAAAATTTCCCAGATCCCAAAATTTCTCAGATCCCAAAATTTCCCAGATCCCGAAATTTCCCATATCCCAAAATTTCCCAGATCCTAAAATTTCCTGGATCCAGAAATTTCTCAAATCCCAAAATTTCCAAAATTTCCCAGATCCCAAAATTTCCCAGATCCAAAATTTCCCAGATCCCAAAATTTCCCATATCCCAAAATTTCCCAGATCCAAAAATTTCCCGTATCCCAAAATTTCCCGGATCCAAAATTTCTCAGATCCCAAAATTTCCCGGATCCAAAATTTCCCAGATCCCAAAATTTCCCGGATCCCAAGAGTTCGCAGTTTCCCGAAATTTCCCAGATCCTAAAATTTCCTGGATCCAGAAATTTCTCAAATCCCAAAATTTCCAAAATTTCCCAGATCCCAAAATTTCCCAGATCCAAAATTTCCCAGATCCCAAAATTTCCCATATCCCAAAATTTCCCAGATCCCAAAATTTCCCGGATCCCAAAATTTCCCGGATCCCAAATTTCCCAGATCCCAAAATTTCCAAAATTTCCCAATCCCCAAATTTCCCAATCCCAAAATTTCCCAGATCTCAAAATTTCCCAGATCCCAAAATTTCCCTGATCCCAAAATTTCCCAGATCCCAAAATTTCTCAGATCCAAAAATTTCCCGGATCCCAAAATTTCGCAGCTTCCCAAAATTTCCCGGATTCCAAAACTTCCTGGATCCCAAAATTTCCCGAATCCCAAAATTTCCCAGATCCCAAAATTTCCCGGATCCCAAAATTTGTCAGAACCAAAAATTTCCCAATCCCAAAAGTTCCCGTATGCCAAAATTTCCCAGATCCAAAAATTTCCCAGATCCTAAATTTTCCAGATCCAAAATTTCCCAGATCCCAAAATTTCCTGGATCCCAAAATTTCCCAGATCCCAAAATTTCCTGGATCCCAAATTTCCCAATCCCCAAATTTCCCAGTTTCCCAAAATTTCCCAGATCCCAAAAGTTCCCAGATCCCAAAATTTGCCGTATCCCAAATTTTCCCAGATCCCAAAATTTCCCGGATCCCAAAATTTTCCAGATCCAAAAATTTCCCAGATCCTAAATTTTCCAGATCCAAAATTTCCCAGATCCCAAAATTTCCTGGATCCCAAATTTCCCAATCCCAAAATTTCCCAGATGCAAAAATTCCCCGGATCCCAAAATTTCCCAGATCCAAAAATGTTCCCCCGGATCCCAAAATTTGTCATATCCCAAAATTTCCCGTATCACAAAATTTCCCGGATCCCAAGAGTTCCCAGCTTCCCAAAATTTCCCAGCTTCCCAGAATTTAGTGGATCCCAAAAGTTCCCAGATCCCAAAATTTCCCAGGTCCCAAAATTTCCCAGATCCCAAAACTTCCCTGATCCAAAAATTTCCCGGCTTCCCGAAATTTCCCAGATCCCAAAATTTCCCAGATCCCAAAATTTCCCAGGTCCCAAAATTTCCCGGATCCCAAAATTTCCCAGATCCCAAAATTTTCCAGATCTGAAAATTTCCCAGATCCCAAAATTTAGTGGATCCCAAAATTTCTATATCCCAAGAGTTCCCAGCTTCCCAAAATTTCCCAGCTTCCCCAAATTTCCCAGATCCAAAAATTTCCCTGATCCCAAAATTTCCCAGATTCCCAAATTTCCCAGATCCCAAAATTTCCAAAATTTCCCGGCTTCCCAAAATTTCCCAGATCCAAAAATTTCCCTGATCCCAAAATTTCCCAGATCCAAAATTTCCTGGATCCCAAAATTTCCCGGATCCAAAAATCTCCCAGATCCCAAAATTTCCCGTGTCCCAAAATTTCTCAGATCCCAAAATTTCCCAGCTTCCCAAAATTTCCCAGATCCCAAAATTTCCCAGATCCAAAAATTACCCAGATCCCCAAAATTCCCCAGATCCCAAAATTTCCCAGATCCCCAAATTTCCCGGATCCCAAAATTTTCCATATCCCAAAATTTTCCATATCCCAAAATTTCCCAGATCCAAAATTTCCCAATCCCAAAATTTCCCATATCCCAAAATTTCCCAGCTTCCCAAAATTTCCCAGATCCCGAAATTTCCTGGGGGAAATGTGGGAATTCGCAGGTGGAGCATCCCAGGGAAATGTTCCCGAGGTTTTCCATGGAATTCCAGGGAATTCCGGGCGGGAATTCCGGGAACTCACTGTAATCCGTCTCCTTCTCCGGGAGAAGCTGCGGAGGGAAGAAAAATCGGGAATTCGGGTGCCAAAATTTGGGATGGAGGGAGGAAAACCCCAAAATTTGGGATGGAGGGAGGAAAAACCCCAAAATTTGGGATGGAGGAAAAATCCCAAAATTTGGGAAAAGGGAGGGAAAAGCCCCAAATTTGGGATGGAGAAAAAGCCCCAAAATTTGGGATGGAGGAAAAGCCCCAAAATTTGGGATGGAGAAAAAGCCCCAAAATTTGGGATGGAGGAAAAGCCCCAAAATTTGGGATGGAGAGAGGAAAAGTCCCAAAATTTGGGATGGAGGGAGGAAAAGCCCCAAAATTTGGGATGGGAGGGAGGAAAAACTCCAAAATTTGGGATGGAGGGAGGAAAAACCCCAAAATTTGGGATGGATGGAGGAAAAACCCCAAAATTTGGGAAGAGGGAGGGAAGAGCCCCAAAATTTGGGAAAAGGGAGGAAAAGCCCCAAAATTTGGGATGGAGGGAGGAAAAACCCCAAAATTTGGGATGGAGGAAAAGCCCCAAAATTTGGGATGGAGGGAGGAAAAGCCCCAAAATTTGGGATGGAGGAAAAGCCCCAAAATTTGGGAAAAGGGAGGAAAAGCCCCAAAATTTGGGATGAAGGGAGGAAAAGTTCCAAAATTTGGGATGGAGGAAAAGCCCCAAAATTTGGGATGGAGGGAGGGAAAGCCCCAAAATTTGGGAAAAGGGAGGAAAAGCCCCAAAATTTGGGATGGAGGAAAAGCCCCAAAATTTGGGATGGAGGAAAAAGCCCCAAAATTTGGGATGGAGGGAGGAAAACCCCAAAATTTGGGAAAAGGGAGGAAAAACCCCAAAATTTGGGATGAAGGAAGGGAAAACCCCAAAATTTGGGATGGAGGGAGGAAAAACCCCAAAATTTGGGATGGAGGGAGGAAAAGCCCCAAAATTTGGGAAGAGGGAGGAAAAACCCCAAAATTTGGGATGGAGGGAGGAAAAGCCCCAAAATTTGGGATGGAGGAAAAGCCCCAAAATTTGGGATGGATGGAGGAAAAAACCCAAAATTTGGGATGGAGGGAGGGAAAACCCCAAAATTTGGGATGGATGGAGGAAAAGCCCCAAAATTTGGGATGGAGGGAAGAGCCCCAAAATTTGGGATGGAGGGAGGAAAAGCCCCAAAATTTGGGAAAAGGGAGGAAAAAGCCCCAAAATTTGGGATGGAGGAAAAACCCCAAAATTTGGGATGGAGGGAGGAAAAGCCCCAAAATTTGGGATGGAGGAAAAGCCCCAAAATTTGGGATGGAGGGAGGGAAAACCCCAAAATTTGGGAAAAGGGAGGAAAAGCCCCAAAATTTGGGATGGATGGAGGGAAAACCCCAAAATTTGGGATGGAGGGAGGAAAAAGCCCCAAAATTTGGGAAAAGGGAGGAAAAACCCCAAAATTTGGGAAAAGGGAGGAAAAACCCCAAAATTTGGGATGGAGGGAGGAAAAGCCCCAAAATTTGGGATGGAGGGAGGAAAAGCCCCAAAATTTGGGATGGAGGGAGGAAAAACCCCAAAATTTGGGATGGAGGGAGGGAAAACCCCAAAATTTGGGATGGAGGAAAAGCCCCAAAAATTGGGATAGAGGGAGGAAAAGCCCCAAAATTTGGGATGGAGGAAAAGACCCAAAATTTGGGATGGAGGGAGGAAAAGCCCCAAAATTTGGGATGGAGGGAGGAAAAACCCCAAAATTTGGGATGGAGGGAGGGAAAGCCCCAAAATTTGGGATGGAGGGAGGAAAAACCCCAAAATTTGGGAAGAGGGAGGAAAAACCCCAAAATTTGGGATGGAGGAAAACCCAAAATTTGGGATGGAGGGAGGGAAAGCCCCAAAATTTGGGATGGAGGGAGGAAAAGCCCCAAAATTTGGGAAGGAGGGAGGAAAAGCCCCAAAATTTGGGATGGAGGGAGGGAAAAGCCCCAAAATTTGGGATGGAGGGAGAAAAACCACCAAAATTTGGGAAGAGGGAGGAAAAGCCCCAAAATTTGGGAAAAGGGAGGAAAAACCCCCAAATTTGGGATGGAGGGAGGAAAAGCCCCAAAATTTGGGATGGAGGAAAAGCCCCAAAATTTGGGATGGAGGGAGGAAAAGGCTCAAAATTTGGGATGGAAGGAGGTAAACCCCAAAATTTGGGATGGAGGAAAAACCCCAAAATTTGGGATGGGAGGAGGAAAAAGCCCCAAAATTTGGGATGGAGGGAGGAAAAGCCCCAAAATTCAGGAAGGATCCGGGGATCCAACCCCCCCCTCGGGATTTCCCATTTTTCGGATAATTTTCCCAAATAAATAAATAAATAAATAAATAAATAAATATTGATGGGAAAAGGAAGAGGAGGAAGACCCGAATATTCCCAAAAAAGGGTTGGAATGGTTGGAATTCCCGGGATGTGCGGATCGCTCACCGGAGGGACGGCGCTGTTCAGGAAGATTTTGGGATCCTGGAAAAAAGGGGAAAAATGGTGTGAGGGGTGGGGAAATGGGGAAAATGGGGAAAAAGGGGAAAATGGGGGAAAATTGGGGAAAAAATCGGGGAAAAGGGCGGGAAATGGGAGGGGAAATTGGGGAAAAAGAGGAAAAAAGGAGGAAAAAAAGGGGAAAAGAGTGAAGGGGAAAAAAGGGAAAATGAGGGAAAAAGGAAAATGGAGGAAAGGGGGAAAATGGAGAAAAAGGGAAAATGGAGAAAAAAGAGAAAATTGAGAAAAAAGAGAAAAAAGGAGGAAAAAGAGAAAAAAGAGAAAAAAGGAGGAAAAAGGGAAAAAAGGAGGAAAAAGGGAAAATGGAGAAAAAAAGGAAAATGGAGAAAAAAGAGAAAATGGAGAAAAAAGAGAAAATGGAGAAAAACAGGAAAAAGGAGGAAAAAGGGAAAATTGAGAAAAAAGGGAGAATGGAGAAAAAAGAGAGAATGGAGAAAAAATAGAAAAAGGAGGAAAAAGAGAAAAAAAGGAGGAAAAAGAGAAAAAAGGAGGAAAAAGGGAAAATGGAGAAAAAAGGGAAATGGAGAAAAAAAGAGAAAATAGAGAAAAAAGAGAAAAAAGGAGGAAAAAGAGAAAAAAGGAGGAAAAAGGGAAAATGGAAAAAAAAAGGGAAATGGAGGAAAAAGGGAAAAAAGGAGAAAAAAGGGAAAATGGAGGAAAATGAGAAAATGGAGAAAAATGAGAAAATGGAGAAAAAAGAGAAAATGGAGAAAAAAAGAGAAAAAAGGAGGAAAAAGAGAAAAAAGGAGGAAAAAGGGAAAAAAGGAGGAAAAAGGGAAAATGGAGAAAAAAAGGGAAATGGAGGAAAAAGGGAAAATGGATAAAAAGGGGAAATGGAGAAAAAAGAGAAAAAAGAGAAAAAAGGAGGAAAAAGGGAAAAAAGGAGGAAAAAGGGAAAATGGAGGAAAAAGGGAAAATGGGGAGAAAGGGAAAATGGAGAAAAAAAGGGAAGTGGAGGAAAAAGAGAAAATGGGGTAAAAAGCGAAAATGGAGAAAAAAGGAAAATGGAGAAAAAAGAGAAAATTGAGAAAAAAGAGAAAAAAGGAGGAAAAAGGAAAAAAAGGAGGAAAAAGGGAAAAAAGGAGGGAAAAGGGAAAATGGAGAAAAAAAGGGAAATGGAGAAAAAAAGAGAAAATTGAGAAAATAGAGAAAAAAGGAGGAAAAAGAGAAAAAAGGAGGAAAAAGGGAAAATGGAGAAAAAAAGGGAAATGGAGGAAAAAGGGAAAATGCAGGAAAAAGAGAAAATGGGGAAAAAAGGCAAAATGGGGAAAAGGGGGAAAATGGGGAAAAAAGGGAAATGGAGAAAAAAGGGAAAATGGAGAAAAAAGGGGAAATGGAGAAAAAAAGGAAAATGGAGAAAAAAGAGAAAATGGAGAAAAAAGGGGAAAAAAGGAGGAAAAAGAGAAAAAAGGAGGAAAAAGGGAAAATTGAGGAAAAAAAATTGAGAAAAAAGGGAAAATGGAGAAAAAAGAAAAAATGGATAAAAAGGGGGAAATGGAGAAAAAAAGGAGGAAAAAGAGAAAAAAGGAGGAAAAAGGGAAAAATGAAAAAGAGAAAAAAGGATGAAAAAGGGAAAATGGAGAAAAAGGGAAAAAAAGGAGGAAAAAGAGAAAAAATAAGGAAAAAGGGAAAATGGAGAAAAAAGGAAAATGGAGGAAAGGGGGGAAAAAAAGGAGAAAAAAGAGAAAATGGAGAAAAAAGGGAAAATGGAGAAAAAAGGGAAAATGGAGAAAAAAAGGAAAATGGAGAAAAAAGGGAAAATGGAGGAAAAGGGAAAAAAAGGAGGAAAAAGAGAAAAAAGGAGGAAAATGGGAAAATGGAGAAAAAAGGGAAAATGGAGGAAAAAGGGGGAAATGGAGGAAAAAGGGAAAAAAGGAGGAAAAAGGGAAAAAAGGAGGAAAAAGGGAAAATGGAGAAAAAATGGGAAATGGAGAAAAAAAGGGAAAATTGAGAAAAAAAGAGAAAAAAGGAGGAAAAAGAGAAAATGGAGGGAAAAGAGAAAATGGAGAAAAAAGGGGAAAAAAGGAGGAAAAAGAGAAAATGGAGGAAAAAGGGGAAACAAGGGAGGGAAAAGGGGAATAAAGGGAGGAAAAAAGGGGAATAAAGGGAGGAAAAAGAGAAAAAAGGAGGAAAAAGGGAAAATTGAGAAAAAAGAGAAAAAAGGAGGAAAAAGGGAAAAAAAGGAGGAAAAAGAAAAAAGGAGGAAAAAGGGAAAATGGAGAAAAAAGAGAAAATTGAGGAAAAAGGGGAAACAGGGGAGGAAAGGGGGAAAAGGGAGGAAAAAAGGGAAAACAAGGGAGGAAAAAAGGGGAATAAAGGGAGGAAAAAGGGGGAGAAAAGGTGGGAAAAGGGGGAAAATGTGGGAAAATGGGAGGGGAAAGGGGGGAAAAAGAGGTAAAAATGAGGGAAAAAAGGGGGAGAAAAGGGTGAAGGGGAAAAAAGGGAAAATGGAGAAAAAAGAAAAAAAGGAGGAAAAAGGGAAAATGGAGAAAAAGGGGAAATGGAGAAAAAAGAGAAAAAAGGAGGAAAAAGGGAAAAAAGGGGGGAAATGGAGAAAAAAAGGGAAATGGGGAAAAAAGGAAAATGGGGTAAAAGGAGAAAATGGGGAAAAAGGGAAAATGGAGAAAAAAGAAAAAATGGAGAAAATAGAGAAAATGGGGAAAAAAGGGAAAATGGAGAAAAAAGAAAAAATGGATAAAAAGGGGGAAATGGAGAAAAAAGGGGAAAAAAGGAGGAAAAAGAGAAAATTGAGGAAAAAGGGGAAACGGGAGGAAAAAGAGGAAAAAGGGAAAATGGAGGAAAAAGAGAAAATGGAGAAAAAAGAGAAAATGGAGGGAAAAAAGGGAAATCGAGAAAAAAGAGAAAAAAAGGAGGAAAAAGAGAAAAAAGGAGGAAAAAGGGGAAACAAGGGAGGAAAGGGGGAAAAGGGGGGAAAAAGGGGAATAAAGAGAGGAAAAAGGGGGAAAGGGGGGAGAAAAGATGGGAAAAGGGGGAAATGGTGGGAAAATGGGAGGGGAAAAGGTGGAAAAAGGAGGTAAGAATGAGGAAAAAAAGGGGGAGAAAAGGGTGAAGGGGAAAAAAGGGAAAATGGAGAAAAAAGAGAAAAAAGGAGAAAAAAGAGAAAAAAGGAGGAAAAAGGGAAAAAAAGGAAGAAAAAAGGGAAAATGGAGAAAAAAGGGAAATGGAGGAAAAAGAGAAAATTGAGGAAAAAAGAGAAAAAAGGAGGAAAAAGAGAAAAAGGAGGAAAAAGAGAAAAAAATGAGGAAAAGAGAAAAAATGAGGAAAATGGGAAAATGGAGAAAAAAGAGAAAATTGAGGAAAAAGAGAAAAAAAGGAGGAAAAAGGGAAAAAAAGGAAAAAGAGAAAAAAGGAGGGAAAAGGGGAAAATGGAGAAAAAAGAGAAAAAAGGAGGAAAAAGGGGAAACAGGGGAGGAAAGGAGGAAAAGGGAGGAAAAAAGGGGAATAAAGGGAGGAAAAAGGGGAATAAAGGGGGAGAAAAGGTGGGAAAAGGGGGAAAAGGTGGGAAATGGGGAAAAGGTGGGAAAATGGGAGGGAAAAGGGAGGAAAAAGGGGAATAAAGGGAGGAAAAAAGGGGAATAAAGGGAGGGAAAAGGGGGAAAAGGGGGGAAAAGGGGGAAAAGGGGAAAAGGTGGGAAAAGGGGGAAAAGGTGGGAAAATGGGATGGAAAAGGGAAAAGGAGGAGAAAAGGCGGGAAAAGGGGGAAAAGGTGGGAAAATGGGATGGAAAAGGGAAAAAGGAGGAATGTCCTGACCAGGCTCTGGACCTCCTGGTGGAGCCAGCGCTGGTCCTCCAGCATCTCCTTGTGCTGCCGCTCCAGCGCCGCCTCCAAGCGCCGCCGCTCCTGCCACAGCAGCTCCTGCGCCTCCTCCCGACTGCCCGGCCGCTGGAAATCCTCCTCCTGGAATCGTATCCCGGAAAAAAAACGGGATCGGGAGCGGGAATGGGGATGGATTCAATCCCGGGCTGGGAGAGCCAAAGTGGGGACAGGGAAGGGAACGGGGGATCCCAAAGGGGTCCGGGAGGGAATTTGGGGATGGGATGGAGGGTGGGAGCCAGGGAATGGAATTCCCGGTGGGAAAGGGGAGCTTGGGATTTTGGGATCTGGGGAAGGAATTCCTGGCTGGGCTGGAATTCCCAGAGAATCCCTGGATCCCTGGGAATGTCCAAGGGTGGGTTTGGATCACCCCGGGATCATGGGAAGTGTCCCTGGGATGGGATTGAAGGTCCATGGATCCCATCCCAAACCATTCCGGGATTCTGGGATCACAGACACTCAGGATCCATCCCGAGGGATTTTTATGGAATTCAGGGATGGAAAATTCCTGAATTCCCAGTGAAGCCCCTGGATCCCGAAATTCCTTCTCCAGGATGAATCGGGGCGGGAATGGAGCTTGGGATTTTGGGATCTGGGGAAGGAATTCCCAGCTGGGCTGGAATTCCCAGAGAATCCCTGGGAATAGTCAAGGAAAGGTGGGATCACGCTGGGATCGGGATTGGAATGGGATGGGATTGAAGGTCCATGGATCCCATCCCAAACCATTCCGGGATTCTGGGATCGAGGATGTTCAGGATCCATCCCGAGGGATTTTATGGAATTTGGGGATAGAAAATTCCTGAATTCCCAGTGAAGCCCCTGGATCCTGAAATTCCTTCTCCAGGATGAATCGGGGCGGGAATGGAGCTTGGGATTTTGGGATCTGGGGAAGGAATTCCCGGCTGGGCTGGAATTCCCAGAGAATCCCGGGAATATCCAAGGAAAGGTTGGATCACGCTGGGATCGGGATTGGAATGGGATGGGATTGGAGATCCATGGATCCCATCCCAAACCATTCTGGGACTGTGGGATCGAGGACACTCAGGATCCATCCCGAGGGATTTTATGGAATTTGGGGATGGAAAAGGGAAGGGAGACCCTTCCTGGAGTCCCCAATTCCCACTGAAACCCCTGGATCCCAAAATTCCTTCTCCAGGAGGAATCAGGATGGGGATGGATCCAGTCCCAGGCTGGGAGAGCCGGGAATGTTCGCCTGGATCAGGGAAGGAATGGGGAAAAGGAGAAAAAAAAGGAGAAAAAAAAGGAGAAAAAAAAAGGAGGAAAAAAAAGGAGAAAAAAAAAGGAGGAAAAAAAAGGGGGAAGAGGAAAGGAACAAAAAGGAGAATTGGGAGGAAAATGGAAAATGGGGGAAAAGGGTGAAAAGGAAAAAAAAAGAAGAAAAAGAAGGAAAATGGGGGAAAAGGGGAGAAAAGGGAGAAAAATGGGGATAAAAGGGCGAAAAATGGGGATGATGTGGGAAAAAGGGGAAAACGGGGAAAAGCAAAAAAATGAGGGAAAATGGGGAAAAGGAGAAAAAAGGGGAAAGGGGGAAAGGGAAATTTGGGATGAAGGAGGGAAAAGGCAGGAAAGGGGAAAAAGGGGAAAATGGGAAAAGAGGGAAACAATGGAGGTGGAAAAGGAGGAAAAAGGGAGAAAATGGGGGGAAAAAAGAGGAAAAGAGGCAGAAAAGGGAGAAAATGGGAAAAATGGGGACAAAATGGGAAAAATGGGGGGAAAGTAGGGAAAATGTGGGAAAAGAGGGGGAAAAGTTGGGAAAAATAGGAAAAATTGGCAAAAAGGAGGGAAAACCAAGGGGAAAATGGGGGGAAATGGGGGAAAGAGGAAAAGAGGAGAAAATGGGAAAAAATGGGGGGGAAGTAGGGAAAATGTGGGAAAAGAGGGGGAAAATAGGGAAAAATAGAAAAAAAACGGGGAAAAGAGAGGAAAAGGGGAGAAAATGGGAAAAAATGGGGGGAAAGTAGGGAAAATGTGGGAAAAGAGGGGAAAAATAGGGAAAAATAGGAAAAACTGGGGAAAAGAGGGAAAACCAAGGGGAAAAGAGGAGAAAATGGGAAAAAATGGGGGAAAAGTAGGAAAAATGAGGGAAAAAGAGGGGAAAAGTAGGGAAAAACTGGGAAAAAGGAGGGAAAACAAGGGGAAAATGGGGGGAAATGGGGAAAAGTTGGGAAAAACAGGGAAAAAATGAGGAAATTGCGTTTCCAGCAAGGAGAAGCAGCCACGGGGGAATTTTGGGATCACAACCGGCTGGAAAAATCCCCCTCCGGAATTTCAGGCGGGATCCCACGGTGGGAGCGGGAGGAGGAACCCGAAAATCCATTCCGCGCTCGGTTTTTTGGGAATGCCACTCCAGAAAATTCGGGATACGGGGAGGGGGGGATGGAGAGGTCCCAAAGGCGGAAACATCCGTCTGGAATGGGATCGGACATTCCCAAGAATCCAACGTGGAGCCGGGAGCAGCCGGAAGCAGCAGCGGGAAGCAGCAGCGGGAAGCGGATCCCAAAAATCGGATGGTTTTTGGGGATTGGGAATTTCTCTGGATGGAGGATCCCAAAGGGAAGTGGATCCCAAAAATGGGAGGATTTTTGGGGATTGGGAATTTATTTGGATACCAAATCCGAATGGGAAGAGGATCCCAAAAATGAGAGGATTTTTGGGGATTGGGAATTCCTCTGGATGGAGAATCCCAGCGAGAAGTGGATCCCAAAAATGGGATTTTTGATTATTGGGAATTCCTCTAACGGGACAATTTTTGAGGATTGGGAATTCCACCGGATGCCAAATCCCACTGGGAACTGGATCCCAAAAATGGGATTTTGAGGATTCGGAATTCCTCTAATGGGACAATTTTCAAGGATTGGGAATTCCTCCGGATGCCGAATCCCAATGGGAACTGGATCCCAAAAATGGGATTTTTGAGGATTGGGAATTCCTCCGGATGCCGAATCCCACTGGGAAGTGGATCCCAAAAATGGGATTTTTGAGGATTGGGAATTCCTCCAATGGGACAATTTTTAAGGATCAGGAATTCCCCCAGATGCCGAATCCCAACGGGAAGCGGATCCCAAAAACGGGACCATTTTTGAGGATTGGGAATTCCACCGGATGCCAAATCCCCCTGGAAGTGGATCCCAAAAATGGGATTTTTGAGGATTGAGAATTTATTTGGATACCGAATTACAATCGGAAGCGGATCCCAAAAATGGGATTTTTGAGGATTGGGAATTCCTCTGGATGCCAAATCCCAGTGGGAACTGGATCCCAAAAATGGGATTTCTGAGGATTGGGAATTCCTCCAATGGGACAATTTTTAAGGATCGGGAATTCCACCGGATGCCAAATCCCAATGGGAACTGGATCCCAAAAATGAGAGGATTTTTGGGGATTGGGAATTCCTCTGGATGGAGAATCCCACTGGGAAGTGGATCCCAAAAATGAGAGGATTTTTGAGGATTGAGAATTTATTTAGATACCGAATTCCAATCAGAAGCGGATCCCAAAAATGGGATTTTTGAGGATTGGGAATTTATTTGGATGCCAAATCCCAACAGGAAGCAGATCCCAAAAATGGGATTTTTGAGGATTGGAAATTCCTCTAACGGAACAATTTTTAAGGATTGGGAATTTCTCCAGATGCCAAATCCCACTGGGAAGCGGATCCCAAAAACGGGACCATTTTTGAGGATTGGGAATTCCTCTGGATGTCAAATCCCAACAGGAAGCGGATCCCAAAAATGGGATTTTTGAGGATTGGGAATTCCTCTAACGGGACAATTTTCAAGGATTGGGAATTCCATCGATGCTGAATCCCCCCGGGAAGAGGGTCCCAAAAACGGGAGGATTTTGAGGATTGGGAATTCCTCTGGATGTCAAATCCCATTGGGAAGCGGATCCCAAAAACTGGACAGTTTTGAGGATTGGGAATTCCTCTAACGGGACAATTTTTGAGGATTGGGAATTCCTCCGGATGCCAAATCCCAACAGGAAGCGGATCCCAAAAATGGGATTTTTGAGGATTGGGAATTCCTCTAACGGGACAATTTTTAAGGATCGGGAATTCCCCCAGATGGTGAATCCCAATGGGAAGTGGATCCCAAAAATTAGAGGAGTTTTGAGGATTGGGAATTCCTCCAATGGGACAATTTTTAAGGATTGGGAATTCCTCCGGATGCCGAATCCCAATGAGAAGTGGATCCCAAAAAATGGACAGTTTTGAGGATTGGGAATTCCTCCGGATGCTGAATCCTACCGGGAAGAGCATCCCAAAAATGGGATTTTTGAGGATTGGGAATTCCTCTGGATGTCAAATCCCAACGGGAACTGGATCCCAAAAATTGGAGGATTTTTGATTATTGGGAATTCCTCTAACGGGACAATTTTCAAGGATTGGGACGTCCACCAGATGCTGAATCCCAATGGGAACTGGATCCCAAAAGTGAGAGGATTTTTGAGGATTGGGAATTCCTCCAGATGCTGAATCCTACCGGGAAGAGCATCCCAGAAATTAGAGGATTTTTGGGGATTGGGAATTTATTTGGATGCCAAATCCCAACAGGAAGCTGATCCCAAAAATGGGATTTTTGAGGATTGGGAATTCCTCTAATGGGTCAATTTTTAAGGATCGGGAATTCCTCCAGATGCCGAATCCCAACGGGAAGTGGATCCCAAAAATGAGAGGATTTTTGAGGATTGGGAATTCCTCTGGATGGAGAATCCCAGTGGGAACTGGATCCCAAAAATGGGAGGATTTTTGAGGATTGGGAATTCCTCTAATGGGACAATTTTTAAGGATTGGGAATTCCACCGGATGCCAAATCCCAACGCGGAGTGGATCCCAAATATTGGAAGGTTTTTTGAGGATTGGGAATTTCTTTGGATGCCAAATCCCAATGGGAAGAGGATCCCAAATACTGGATGGTTTTGAGGATTGGGAATTCCTCTAACGGAACAATTTTTAAGGATTGGGAATTCCATCGATGCTGAATCCTACCGGGAAGAGCATCCCAAAAATGGGATTTTGAGGATTGGGAATTCCTCCAATGGGACAATTTTTAAGGATTGGGAATTCCTCCAGATGCCGAATCCCAACGGGAAATGGATCCCCAAAATGGGAGGATTTTTGAGGATTGGGAATTCCTCTAACGGGACAATTTTTAAGGATTGGGAATTCCTCCAGATGCCGAATCCCAATGGGAAGAGGATCCCAAAAATGGGAAGGTTTTTTGAGGATTGGGAATTCCTCTGGATGCTGAATCCCAATGGGAAGTGGATCCCAAAAATTGGAGGATTTTTGAGGATTGGGAATTCCTCTAACGAGACAATTTTTAAGGATTGGGAATTCCTCCAGACGCCGAATCCCACCGGGAAGAGTCTCCCAACACCAGGCTCATTTTTGAGGATTGGGAATTCCTCTAATGGGACAATTTTTAAGGATTGGGAATTCCTCCAGATGCCGAATCCCACTGGGAAGTGGATCCCAAAAATGGGATTTTTGAGGATTGGGAATTCCTCTAACAGAACAATTTTTAAGGATTGGGAATTCCACCGGATGCTGAATCCCACTGGGAAGTGGATCCCAAAAATGGGATTTTGAGGATTGGGAATTCCTCTAATGGGACAATTTTTGAGGATTGGGAATTCCTCCAGATGCCAAATCCCACTGGGAAGTGGATCCCAAAAATGGGATTTTGAGGATTGGGAATTCCTCTAATGGGACAATTTTTGAGGATTGGGAATTCCTCCAGATGCCAAATCCCACTGGGAAGTGGATCCCAAAAATGAGAGGATTTTTGAGGACTGGGAATTCCTCTGGATGGAGAATCCCAGCGGGAAGTGGATCCCAAAAATTGGAGGATTTTTGAGGCTTGGGAATTCCATCGATGCTGAATCCTACCGGGAAGAGCATCCCAAAAATGGGATTTTGAGGATTGGGAATTCCTGTAACGGGACAATTTTTGAGGATTGGGAATTCCTCTGGACACCGAATCCCACCGGGAATAGTCTCCCAACACCGGGCTCATTTTTGAGGATTGGGAATTCCTCCAATGGGACAATTTTTAAGGATCGGGAATTCCACCGGATGCCAAATCCCAATGGGAAGTTGATCCCAAAAATGAGAGGATTTTTGAGGATTGGGAATTTATTTGGATGCCAAATCCCAACGCGAAGTGGATCCCAAAAATTGGATTTTGAGGATTGGGAATTCCTCTAATGGGTCAATTTTTAAGGATCGGGAATTCCACTGGATGCTGAATCCCAACAGGAAGTGGATCCCAAAAATGGGAGGATTTTTGAGGATTGGGAATTCCTCCGGATGCTGAATCCCCGTGGGAAGTGGATCCCAAAAATGGGATTTTTGAGGATTGGGAATTCCTCTAACGGGACAATTTTTAAGGATTGGGAATTCCACCGGATGCCAAATGCCAATGGGAAGTGGATCCCAAAAATGGGATTTTTGAGGATTGGGAATTCCTCCAATGGGACAATTTTTGAGGATTGGGAATTCCTCCGGATGCCGAATCCCAACAGGAAGAGGATCCCAAAAATGGGAGGATTTCTGAGGATTGGGAATTCCTCTGGATGGAGAATCCCACTGGAAGTGGATCCCAAAAATGGGTTTTATGAGGATTGGGAATTCCTCTAACAAGACAATTTTTAAGGATTGGGAATTCCATCGATGCTGAATCCCAACAGGAAGTGGCTCCCAAAAATGGGAAGGTTTTTTGAGGATTGGGAATTCCTCCAGATTGCGAATCCCACTGGAAGTGGATCCCAAAAATGGGAGGATTTTTGAGGATTGGGAATTCCTCCAGATGCCGAATCCCTGTGGGAAGCGAATCCAAATGGATCCGAAAAACGGGACCATTTTTGAGGATTGGGAATTCCTCTGGATGGCAAATCCCAACAGGAAGCAGATCCCAAAAATTGGAATTTTGAGGATTGGGAATTCCTCTAACGGGACAATTTTAAGGATTGGGAATTCCACCGGATGCCGAATCCCAATGGGAACTGGATCCCAAAAATGGGAGGATTTTTGGGGATTGGGGATTCCACCAGATGCCAAATCCTACTGGGAACTGGATCCCAAAAATGGGATTTTTGAGGATTGGGAATTCCTCCGGATGCCGAATCCCAATGGGAACTGGATCCCAAAAATGGGATTTTTGAGGATTGGGAATTCCTCTAATGGGACCATTTTTAAGGATCGGGAATTCCTCCGGATGCCAAATCCCAATGGGAAGCGGATCCCAAAAATGGGAGGATTTTTGAGGATTGGGAATTCCTCTGGATGGAGAATCCCAACGGGAAGCAGATCCCAAAAATGGGATTTTTGAGGATTGGGAATTCCTCTAACAGGACATTTTTTAAGGATTGGGAATTCCACCGGATGCCAAATCCCACTGGGAAGTGGATCCCAAAATTGGGATTTTTGAGGATTGGGAATTTCTCCAATGGGACAATTTTTGAGGAATTCCACCGGATGCCGAATCCCAGTGGGAAGCGGATCCCAAAAATGGGATTTTTGAGGATTGGGAATTCCTCGGGACGCCGAATCCCGCCGGGAATTCCGGCCTTACCCTCATGCTGTGGCGCTTGAAGCCGTTGTGCCGGCCGGGCGGCGGCGTGCGCCGGGAATGCGCCGGGCTCGGGAACTCGGCGGGGCTGGCGAGGGTGGGAGAGCTGGCGCAGAGCCCCTCCGGAACCTGGGAATTCCAAATTCCCACAAAATTTGGGAATCGCGGGAAAAGCCGATGGGAAGGGATTGGCGCGGACGCACGGACGGAGCGGCAGCGCGGAGAGAGCGGGAACAGCGCCGGGAGCCGGCCCGGAGCGGGATCGGCCTCGGCTAAAAGGGGCCTTGGGAGTTTTAGGAATTTTTTTGGGATATTTTGGGATTTTTGTGGATTTTTTGAGATTTTTTTGGGGTTTATTTTGGGATATTTTGGGATATTCTGGCCTCCGAACAGCGGGAATTGTGCCGGGAGCCGACCCAGAGCGGGATCGGCCTCAGCCCAAAAGTTGCCTTGGGATTTTTGGGGATTTTTTGGGGGATATTTTGGGATATTTTTGGGGATATTTTGGGATTTTTTTGTGATTTTTTGGGATTTTTTGGGGGATATTTTGGGATATTCTGGCCTCCAAAGAGCAGGAATTGCGCCGGGAGCCGGCCTGGAGCGGGATCGGCCTCGGCCCAAAAGTGGCCTTGGGATTTTTTGGGATATGTTGGGGATATTTTGGGATTTTTTGGGGGTTTTGGGGCATTTTTGGGGTTATTTTGGGATATTTTGGATATTCTGGCCTCCAAACAGCAGGAATTGCACCGGGAGCCAACCTGGATTTTGATTTGCCTCGTCTTAAAAGTGGGCTTGGGATTTTTGGAGATATTTTGGGATATTTTTGGGATGTTTTGGAATATTTGGGGATTTTGGGGGAATTTTTTTGGATATTTTGGGATATTCTGGCCTCCGAAGAGCGGGAATTGCACCAGGAGCTGTCCTGGATCGGGAGCGGCCTCATCCTAAAAATGGGCTTGGGATTTTTTTGGATTTGTTTGGGATATTTTGGAGATATTTTGAGATTTTCGGGGAATTTTTGGTATTTTTTTTGGGGATATTTTGGGATTTTTTGGGATATTCTGGCCTCTGAACAGCAGGAATTGCGCAGGGAGCCGGCACAGAGCGGGATCGGCCTCGGCTAAAAGGGGTCTTGGGAGTTTTTGGGGATTTTTTGGGAATATTTTGGGATTTTGGTGGATTTTTGTGATTTTTTTTTGATATATTCCGTGATTTTTTGGATATTCTGGTCTCTGAACAGCGGGAATTGCGCCGGGAGCCGATGCGGATCGGGATCGGGCTCGGCCTAAAAGTGGGCTTGGGATTTTTGGAGATATTTTGGGATATTTTGAGATTTTTGGGGATTTTTTGTTATTTTTGTGGTTTATTTTGGAATATTTTGAGATTTTTTTGTGGATATTTTGTGATTTTTTGGGGGATATTTTGGGATATTTTGGATATTCTGGCCTCCAAACAGTGGGAATTGCGCCAGGACCCAACCGGGATTGTGATCGGCCTCATCCAAAAAGTGGATTTGGGATTATTTGGGATTTTTTTGGGATATTTTGGGATGTTTTGACCTCTGAAGAGCGGGAATTGCACCAGGAGCTGACCCAGATCAGGATTGGCCTCATCCTAAAAGTGGGTTTGGGATTTTTTGGGATATTTTGGGGATATTTTGCAATATTTTGGGATATTTTTGGATTTGTTTGGGATATTCTGGAGATATGTTGGGGATATTTTGGGATTTTTGTGGATTTTTTGTGATTGTTTTTTGGGATATTCCAGGATTTTTTGGATATTCTGGCCACCGAAGAGCAGGAATTGCACCCAGACCCAACCTGGATTGGGATTGACTTTGTCCTAAAAGTGGGCTTGGGATTTTTGGGGATTTTTTGGGGGCTATTTTGGGATATTTTTGGGGATATTTTTGGGGTTTTTTGGGATATTTTGTGGATTTTTTGGGGGGATATTTCAGAATATTTTGGGATATTCTGGCCTCTGAACAGCAGGAATTGCACCAGGAGCCGGCCCGGATCAGGATCAGCCTCGTCCTAAAAATGGGTTTGGGATTTCTTGGGATATTTTTGGATTTTGTGGTATATTTTGGGATTTTTTTGGGGATATTTTGGGGATATTTGGGATATTTTGGGATATTCTGGCCTCCAAACAGCAGGAATTGCGCCAGGAGCCAACCCGGATTGTGACTGGCCTCGTCCTAAAAGTGGCCTTGGGATTTTTTGGGATTTTTTTTTATTTTTTGGGATTTTTTGGGAATATTTTGGGATATTTTGGAATATTTGAGGATTTTGGGGGAATTTTTGGGGATATTTTGGGATAATTTGGCCTCCGAAGAGCGGGAATTGCACCAGGAGCCAACCCAGATCAGGATTGGCCTCGTCCTAAAAGTGGGCTTGGAATTTTTTGGGATATTTGGGGGATATTTTGCAATATTTTGGGATTTTTTTGGATTTGTTTGGTATTTTTTTGGGATATTTTGGGATTTTTTTACTATTCTGGCCTCCGAAGAGCGGGAATTGTGCCAGGAACGGACCTGGATCGGGATCGGCCTCGGCCCAAAAGTGGCCTTGGGATTTTTTGGGATTTTTGGGGATATTTTGGGATGTTTTGGGATTTTTTGAGATATTTTGATATTTTTGGGGATTTTTTGGTATTTTTTTGGGGGTATTTTGGGATTTTTTTTGATATTTTGTCCTCTGAAGAGCAGGAATTGCACCAGGAGCTGTCCTGGATCAGGATTGGCCTCATCCTAAAAATGGGTTTGAGATTTTTGGGATATTTTGGGATTTTTTGGGGTATTTTGGGATTTTGGGGTATATTTTGGGATTTTTTTGGGATATTTTGAAATATTTTGGGATATTCTGGCCTCCAAAGAGCGGGAATTGTGCCGGGAGCCGGCTCGGATCGGGATTGGCCTCGGCCTAAAAGTGGCTTTGGGAGTTTTTGGGATTTTTGGGGATATTTTGGGATGTTTTGGGATTGTTTGAGATATTTTGAGATTTTTGGGGGATTTTTTGGGATTTTTTTTTTTTTGTATTTTGGGATTTTTTTGATATTTTGGCCACTGAAAAGCGGGAATTGCACCAGGAGCCGACCCGGATCGGGATCGGCCTCATCCGAAAAGTGGGCTTGGGATTTTTTGGGATTTTTTTGGGATATTTTGGGATATTCTGACCTCCGAAGAGCGGGAATTGCGCAGGGAGCCAACCCAGATCAGGATTGGCCTCGGCCTAAAAGTGGGTTTGGAATTTTTTGGGATATTTTGGGGATATTTTGCAATATTTTGGGATTTTTTTGGATTTGTTTGGGATATTTTGGAGATATTTTGAGATTTTCGGGGAATTTTGGGGGTTTTTTTGGGGATATTTTGGGATTTTTTTAATATTCCGGCCTCCAAAGAGCGGGAATTGTGCCAGGAACCGACCTGGATCGGGATCGGCCTCATCCTAAAAGTGGGTTTGGGATTTTTTGGGATATGTTTGGGATATTTTGTGATATTTTGGGATTTTTTTGGGCATGGGGAGGATTTTTTGGGAATATTTTGGGGGGATTTTTGGGATATTTTGGGATATTCCGGCCTCCAAAGAACGGGAATTGTGCCGGGAGGAATCGGCCTCATCCTAAAAGTGGGCTTGGAATATTTGGTGATTTTTTGGGGATATTTTGGGATATTTTGGGATATCTTGAATATTTTGGAATATTTTGGGATATTTTGGAATATTTTAGTTTTTTTTTTTTTTGGGATATTTTGAATATTTTGGGATATTTTGGGGTATTTTAGGATTTTTGGGGGCATATATTGTGATATGTTGAATATTTTGGGATATTTTGTGATTTGGGGGGGGACATTTGCGGTATTTTGAATAGTTTGGAATATTTTGGGATATTTTAGGATTTTTTGGGGGGATATTTTGTGATATTTTGAATATTTTGGAATATTTTGGCATATTTTCAGATATTTTGGAGTATTTTGGGATATTTTCAGATATTTTGGGATATTTTAGGATTTTTTGGGGATACATTGTGGTATTTTGAATATTTTGGGGTATTTTGGGATATTTTGGATTATTTTGTGATATTTTGAATATTTTGGAATATTTTGGGATATTTTCGGAAAAATTTAGGATATTTTAGGATTTTTTGGGGGGGATACATTGTGATATTTTGAATATTTTGGAATATTTTGGGATATTTCCGGATATTTTGGGACATTCTGTCCTCCCAAGAACTTCGGAGTTTTCCCAACCTCAATGATTCCGGGATTCCGTGACGGCGGGCGCGGATCGCCCCCGATCCCAAAAATCCGCCGGATTCCCGGGATCCCCCCGAATTCCCAAATTCCCAAATTCCCAAATTCCCAAATTCCCAAATAATTCCGGCGCGCAGCCTCACCTGGAATTGCAGTTTGGGCGCCAGGAGATTATTCTGGGATGGCGCTTTGAACTGGGGCCTGCTGGGCTGCCGGAAAACGGGAGAAAAATGGGAATTCCCGCGGATCCGGGAATTCGGGAATTCCGGACCCGCCTCCCGCCCGCGCCCATCCCAACCTTGGGCGGCGGCTCCTGGAATTCCGGTGGCTCCTGGAATTCCGGCGGCTCCAGGATTTTGGGGGGGCGGTTTCGGCCGCTCCGCTCCTGCTCCTCGGCCAACTCCTTCTCCATCAGGTAAATGTCGCTGCGGGAAATCGGGACACGGAGGTGACGATCCCGGAATTCCCGGGAATTCCCAGCGGGCAGAGCAGGGAGGGGTGGGAGTGGCACCGGAGCGGAATTCCCAGCGGAATTCCCGGGAATTCCCTTTCCCTTCCAGCCCGTTCCCTTCCAAAGGGGCTCCGATGCTCCTCCAAGCCCAAAGTTTTCCATAAAAATTCCTGATCCCAAACTTTTCCCAGATTTTCCCACCACATTCCCACCACTCCATCCCACTCCAGAATTCCCAGCCTTGGAGACCCTTTGGAATTGGAACATTTCACTTCCCAGGAAAGTCTCTAAACCCAAACTTTTCCATAAAAACTCCCGATCCCAAACTTTTCCCAGATTTTTCCCCCACATTCCCACCAATCCCTCTCTCCATGGATCCTGCAGAATTCTCGTCCCACCTGAGGCTGCAGAATTTGGAATTTGGGCTTGGAGATCCTTTGGAATTGGAACATTTCGCTCTGCAGCAAAGCCTCTAAACCCAAACTTTTCCATAAAAACTCCTGATCCCAAACTTTTTCCAGATTTTTCCACCACATTCCCAACTTTCCATCCCACTCTGGAATTCCCAGCCTTGGAGACCATTTGGAATTGGAGCATTTTGCTTCCTGGGAAATGCTCTAAACCCAAACTTTTCCATAAAAACTCCCAATCCCAAACTTTTCCATAAAAATTCCCAATCCCAAACCTTTCCATAAAAACTCCCAATCCCAAACTTTTCCCATATTTTTCCACCACATTCCCACCTCTCCATCCCACTCCAGAATTCCCAGCCTTGGAGACCCTTTGGAATTGGAGCGTTTTGCTCTTTAGGAAAATCTCTAAACCCAAACTTTTCCATAAAAACTTCCCTTTTCCAACCTTTTCCTGCCTTCTTCCCCCACATTCCCACCGTCCCATCATTCCGGGGACCCTCCGGAATTCCCGTCCCACCTGAGGCTGCAGAATTTGGAATTTGGGCTTGGAGATCCTTTGGAATTGGAGCATTTCACTTCCCGGGAAAGTCTCGAAACCCAAACTTTTCCATAAAAATTCCCGATCCCAAACCTTTCCATAAAAACTCTCAATCCCAAACTTTTCCCAGATTTTCCCACCACATTCCCACCACTCCATCCCACTCCAGAATTCCCAGCCTTGGAGACCCTTTGGAATTGGAACATTTCACTTCCCAGGAAAGTCTCTAAACCCAAACTTTTCCATAAAAGCTCCTGATCCCAAACCTTTCCATAAAAACTCCCGATCTGAAACTTTTCCCAGATTTTTCCACCACATTCCCAACTCTCCATCCCACTCCAGAATTCCCAGCCTTGGAGACCCTTTGGATTTGGAACGTTTCGCTCTCCAGCAACATCTCTAAACCCAAACTTTTCCATAAAAACTCCAAATCCCAAACCTTTCCCAGACTTTTCCCCCACATTCCCAGTGTCCCATCGCTCCGGGGACCCTCTGGAATTCCCGTCCCACCTGAGGCTGCAGAATTTGGAATTTGGGCTTGGAGACCCTTTGGAATTGGAACATTTCGCACTCCAGCAAAACCTCTAAACCCAAACGTTTCCATAAGAACTCCCGATCCCAAACTTTTCTCAGACTTTCCCCCCACATTCCCACCGCCCCATCTCTCCATGGATCCTCCGGAATTCCCGTCCCACCTGAGGCTGCAGAATTTGGAATTTGGGCTTGGAGAAGCCTTGGAGACCCTTTGGAATTGGAACATTTCGCTCTCCAGCAAAGCCTCTAAACCCAAACTTTTCCATAAAAACTCCCAATCCCAGACTTTCCCCGACATTCCCACCATCCCATCGCTCCAGGAACTCTCCGGAATTCCCGTCCCACCTGAGGCTGCAGACCAGCTCCTGGAATTTGGGCCTCTGGGCGGGGTCGTAGTCCCAGCAGCGCGCCAGCAGCGCGTAGAGGACGGGCGGGCAGCGCTCCGGCTTGGGCAGCCGGTCCCCCTTCTCCAGCACCCCGATCACGTCCCGGTTCTCCAGCCAGAAGAACGGCTGCTTCCCGCAGCTCAGGATCTCCCACACGCACACGCCTGCGGGGGCCACCGGGAAAAACTCCGGAATTCCCGGGAATCCCACAATTCCCAAGGAATTCTTACAATTTTTTTGGGGTTTTTTTTTTTGGGGGGGTTTTTTGGGGGGTTTTTTTTTTGGTGGGACACGTAAAATTCCTAATTCCAGAGGGGTTGGAGATGGGTGTTGTTTTTTTTTTGGAGTGGGGAGAGTTGAGCTCATCCCGAAATTTCCCTAAAATCCTTGGATGAGGAGGAGGAAGCGGCGGTGGGTGGATGGAAGCCCTTCCGTGGGATGGCTTCTCCCAGGGGAAAAGAATCGGGATAATCTGGAGTTGGGAAGTGGCAGAGCGGGATTTGTCCTTTGGGCCACGGGAGAAGGATCAGTCCGGGATTCTGATCCATACCACGGGAAGCGGATCGATCCCGGGATCCCACACCACACCACGGGAAGCGGATTGATCCCGGGATCTCACTCCATAATGATGAATTCCGGGATCCCATTCCAAATCCCAGGATCCCATCCCACCGGAAGCGGATCAAACCCGGGATCCCATCCCATGACAACTAATCCCAGGATCCCGTTCCGAATCCCGGGATCCCATTCCGAATCCTGGGATCCCATTCCAAATCCCATCCCACCCCGGATCAATCCCAGGATCCCACCCCATGGTGACAAATCCCTGGATCCCATTCCGAATCCCGGGATCCAGTCCCACTCTGGATCAATCCCAGAATCCCATCCCATGACGACGATTCCCGGGATCCCATTCCCAATCCCAGGATCCAATCCCACACCAGATCAATCCCTGGATCCCACTCCATAATGATGAATCCCAGGATCTCATTCTGAATCCCAGGATCCCACCCCACACCACGGGAAGTGGATCAAGTCCAGGATCCCACCCCATGATGATGAATCCCGGGATCCCATTCCGAATCCCAGATCCCATCCCGAATCCCAGATCCCATCCCGAATCCCAGATCCCGATCCCGAATCCCAGATCCCATTCCCAATCCCAGATCCCATTCCGAATCCCAGATCCCATTCCCAATCCCAGATCCCATTCCGAACCCCAGATCCCATTCCCAATCCCAGATCCCATTCCAAATCCTGAATCCCAGATCCCATCCCGAATCCCAGATCTCATTCCGAACCCCAGATCCCATCCCGAATCCCAGATCCCATTCCGAATCCCAGATCCCGAATCCCAGATCCCGAATCCCAGATCCCATTCTGTATCCTGGGATCCCATCCCGAATCCCAGATCCCATCCCGAATCCCAGATCCCATTCCGAATCCCAGATCCCGAATCCCAGATCCTGAATCCCAGATCCCATTCCGAATCCCAGATCCCGAATCCCGGGATCCCATCCCGAATCCCAGATCCCATCCCAAATCCCAGATCCCATCCCGAATCCCAGATCCCGAATCCCAGATCCCATCCTGAATCCCAGATCCCATCCCAAATCCCAGATCCCATCCCGAATCCCAGATCCCATTCCCAATCCCAGATCCCATCCCGAATCCCAGATCCCATCCTGAATCCCAGATCCCATCCCAAATCCCAGATCCCATCCCGAATCCCGATCCCGAATCCCAAATCCCAGATCCCAAATCCCGGATCCCGAATCCCAGATCCCATTCCAAATCCCAGGATCCCATTCCGAACCCCTGGATCCCGAATCCCAGATCCCATCCCGAATCCCAGATCCCATCCCAAATCCCAGATCCCATCCCGAATCCCGGATCCCGAATCCCAAATCCCAGATCCCATTCCGAATCCCAGATCCCATTCCAAATCCCAGATCCCATTCCCAATCCCGAATCCCGATCCCGAATCCCAGATCCCATCCCGAATCCCAGATCCCATCCCGAATCCCAGATCCCATTCCGAACCCCAGGATCCCATTCCCAATCCCAGATCCCATCCCGAACCCCGATCCCGAATCCCAGATCCCATCCCGAATCCCAGATCCCGATCCCAAATCCCAGATCCCATTCCGAATCCCGGATCCCGATCCCGATCCCGAATCCCAAATCCCAGATCCCATCCCGAACCCCAGATCCCATCCCGAATCCCGATCCCGAATCCCAGATCCCATCCCGAATCCCAGATCCCATCCCGAATCCCAGATCCCATCCCGAATCCCAGATCCCATCCCGAACCCCGGGATCCCATTCCGAATCCCAGATCCCGATCCCGAATCCCAGATCCCATTCCAAATCCCAGATCCCATTCCGAATCCCAGATCCCATCCCGAATCCGGAATCCCATTCCAAATCCCAGATCCCGAATCCCGGATCCCAGATCCCATCCCACCCCGGATCAATCCCAGGATCCCATCCCATGGTGACAAATCCCAGGATCCCATCCCACACCGGATCAATCCCAGGATCCCACTCCATAATGATGAATTCCAGGATCCCATTTCGAACCCCAGATCCCATTCCGAATCCCGGGATCCCATTCCAAATCCCGGGATCCCATTCTGAATCCTGGGATCCCATTCCGAATCCCATCCCACACCAGATCAATCCCAGAATCCCACCCCATGACAACGAATCCTGGGATCCCATCCCGAATCCCAGATCCCGTCCCGAATCCCAGATCCCATCCCGAATCCCAGATCCCATCCCGAATCCCAGATCCCATCCCAAATCCCAGATCCCATCCCGAATCCCAGGATCCCATTCCGAATCCCAGGATCCCATTCCGAATCCCAGGATCCCATTCTGAATCCCGGGATCCCATACCGAACCCCAGGATCCTATTCCGAATCCCAGATCCCATTCCAAATCCCAGGATCCCGCCCCGAATCCCAGATCCCATCCTGAATCCCAAATCCCAGATCCCATCCCGAATCCCAGATCCCATTCCAAATCCCAGATCCCATTCCGAATCCCAGATCCCTTTCCGAATCCCAGATCCCATTCCGAATCCCAGATCCCATCCCGGATCCCAGATCCCATTCCAAATCCCAGATCCCATTCCGAATCCCAGATCCCATTCCAAATCCCAGATCCCATTCCAAATCCCAGATCCCATCCCGAATCCCAGATCCCATCCCGAATCCCGGATCCCATCCCGAATCCCAGATCCCATCCCGAATACCAGATCCCATCCCGAATCCCAGATCCCATCCCGAATCCCAGGATCCCATTCCCAATCCCAGATCCCATCCCGAATCCCAGATCCCATCCCGAATCCCAGATCCCATCCCGAATCCCGAATCCCAGATCCCATCCCGAATCCCAGATCCCATCCCAAATCCCAGATCCCATTCCAAACCCCAGATCTCATCCCGATCCCGAATCCCAGATCCCATCCCAAATCCCAGATCCCATTCCAAATCCCAGATCCCATTCCAAACCCCAGATCCCATCCCGATCCCATCCCGAATCCCAGATCCCATCCCAGATCCCATCCCAAATCCCAGATCTCATCCCAGATCCCATTCCAAATCCCAGATCCCATTCCTAATCCCGAACCCCAGATCCCATCCCGAATCCCAGATCCCATCCCAGATCCCATCCCGATCCCGGATCCCGAATCCCCATCCCGATCCCGATCCCGATCCCGATCCCGATCCCGAATCCCGAATCCCGATCCCGATCCCGATCCCGCACCGAACATCCAGACGTCGCTGGCGGCGGTGAAGCGCCGGAAGTTGATGGATTCCGGCGACATCCACTTGATGGGGAGGCGGCTGATGGAGGCTGCAGCGGGCCGGGGGGGATCGGGATCGGGATCGGGATCGGGATCGGGATCGGGATCGGGATCGGGATGGGGATGGGGATGGGGATGGGGATGGGGATCGGGATGGGGATCGGGATCGGGATGGGGATCGGGATGGGGATCGGGATGGGGATGGGGATGGGGATGGGGATGGGGATCGGGATGGGGATGGAGATCGGGATGGGGATGGGGATGGGGATGGGGATGGGGATGGGGATGGGGATGGGGATGGGGATCGGGATCGGGATGGGGATGGGGATGGGGATCAGGATCGGGATGGGGATCGGGATGGGGATGGGGATGGGGATGGGGATGGGGATGGGGATCGGGATGGGGATCGGGATGGGGATGGGGATGGAGATGGAGATGGAGATGGAGATGGGGATGGGGATGGGGATCGGGATGGGGATGGGGATGGGGATCGGGATGGGGATGGGGATCGGGATGGGGATGGGGATGGGGATGGGGATGGGGATGGGGATGGGGATGGGGATGGGGATGGGGATCGGGATCGGGATGGGGATGGGGATGGGGATCAGGATCGGGATGGGGATCGGGATCGGGATGGGGATGGGGATCGGGATGGGGATCGGGATCGGGATCGGGATGGGGATGGGGATCGGGATGGGGATCGGGATCGGGATGGGGATGGGGATCGGGATCGGGATGGGGATCGGGATCGGGATGGGGATTGGGATCGGGATCGGGATGGGGATGGGGATCGGGATCGGGATCGGGATCGGGATGGGGATGGGGATCGGGATCGGGATCGGGATGGGGATGGGGATCGGGATGGGGATGGGGATGGGGATGGGGATGGGGATCGGGATCGGGATTGGGATCGGGATGGGGATGGGGATGGGGATGGGGATCGGGATCGGGATCGGGATGGGGATCGGGATGGGGATCGGGATCGGGATGGGGATGGGGATGGGGATGGGGATCGGGATCGGGATGGGGATGGGGATCGGGATCGGGATGGGGATGGGGATGGGGATCGGGATCGGGATCGGGATGGGGATCGGGATGGGGATCGGGATGGGGATCGGGATCGGGATGGGGATGGGGATCGGGATCGGGATCGGGATGGGGATGGGGATGGGGATCGGGATCGGGATGGGGATCGGGATGGGGATCGGGATGGGGATCGGGATGGGGATCGGGATGGGGATGGGGATGGGGATCGGGATCGGGATCGGGATGGGGATGGGGATCAGGATCGGGATCGGGATCAGGATCGGGATCGGGATGGATCCCGATCTCCCGGCGGGATTTTACCTTTGTAGTACTCCTCGTCCTCGATGTAGCGGGAGAGGCCGAAGTCGCCCAGTTTGACGCACTCCGGGGACGCCACCAGAACGTTCCGCGCCGCGATGTCCCTGCGGGGCGGGATCCGGGTCGGGATAACAGGGTGGGATAACGGGGCAATGGGAGTCGGGATTTGGGGTGTGGGAGTTGGGATTTGGGATTTGGGGTAGGGGAGTTGGGAGTTGGGAGTTGGGAGTTGGGATTTGGGATAACGGGGCAATGGGAGTTGGGATTTGGGGTATGGGAGCTGGGATTTGGGGTAACGGGGTAATGGGAGTTGGGAGTTGGGATTTGGGATCATGGGGTAATGGGGTTTGGGATAACGGGGCGATGGGAGTTGGGATTTGGGATTTGGGATAATGGGAGTTGGGATAACGGGGCAATGGGAGTTGGGATTTGGGATATGGGATTTGGGGTAATGGGAGTTGGGATTTGGGGTATGGGATTTGGGATAATGGGATAATGGGATGATGGGATTCGGGATAATGGGATGATGGGGTGGGATAATGGGATGAGATTTGGGATATGGGATGGGATAATGGGATTGGGATATGGGATTTGGGATGGGATGGGACAGGGGTTGAGATATGGGATTTGGGATAAAGGATATGGGATGGGATAATAGGATATGGTAATGGGATTATGGGATTATGGGATGGGATTGAGATTGGGATTTGGATGGGGATGGGGATTGGGATTGGGATTGGGATTTGGATTGTGATGGAGAGAAGGGCTGGAGATGGATCCAGATGGATGGAGATGGGATGGAACGGGATCATGGGATAATGGAATGGGATAGGATGTGCTAATGGGATGGGATTCGGGATATGGGATTTGGGATTTGGGATGTGGGATGTGATATGATAATGGGATAGGATAATGGGATTTGGGATGGGACAATGGGATGGGATTCGGGATATGGGACTTGGGATTTGGGATATGGGATTTGGGATAATGAGATAATGGGATAATGGGATGGGAAAACAGGACGGGATAATGGGATAGGATGGGATGGATAATGGAATGTGATAATGGGATGGGATAATGGGATAACGGGATGGGATAATGGGATGGGACAATGGGACAGGATAGTACAACGGGATGGGGTGGGCCGGAGAAGAAGACCCCTCACCCATCCCACACAACTTCCCAAAAACCCCACCCCTCACCCCACCCCCATCTCCCTCCTTCCCCCGCCCATCCCGGAATGCCGCGGGGCTGCGGGCCCATCCCGAATCCCGAATGCCAAATCCCGAATCCCGAATCCCAAATCCCGAATCCCGAATCCCGAATCCCAAATCCCGAATCCCAAATCCCAAATCCTGAATCCCAAATCCCAAATCCCGAATCCCAAATCCCAAATCCCAAATCCCAAATCCCGAATCCCAAATCCCGAATCCCAAATCCCAAATCCCGAATCCCAAATCCCAAATCCCAAATCCCAAATCCCAAATCCCGAATCCCAAATCCCGAATCCCAAATCCCAAATCCCGAATGCCAAATCCCGAATCCCAAATCCCGAATCCCGAATCCCGAATCCCGAATCCCAAATCCCGAATCCCAAATCCCAAATCCCGAATCCCGAATCCCAAATCCCGAATCCCGAATCCCGAATCCCGACCTGTGGACGCAGCTGAGGGCCTCCAGGTAGGCCATGGCCTTGGCCACCTGCAGCGCGTAGAGCACCAGCGTGGGCACGGCCAGGACGCGCCGGTTCTGCTCCAGGTACTGGCCCAGCTGCAACCCCCAATTCCCGCCGGATCAGCGCCCGGGAATCCCGGGAATTCCGGGAATTCCGGGAACGAGCCAGGGAAGGGGACGGCCGCACCTCTCCGTAGGGATAGAGCTCCATGACGATCCAGGTGGGCTCATCCTCGGCGATGCCGATGAGTTTGACGATGTGGGGGTGGTCCAACTTCTTCATCAGCACTGCGGGAACGGCGGAATTCCCAAATTCCCACCAAATTAATTCCCGGGGAATCCCCGTCCCCGCCTCGGAATTTCCCCAAGGGATTGGAGCTCCTGGTTGGGTTTGGGTTCATCCCAGTGGATTCCCACCCTCCTCCAGGAATCCCAAAAACCATCCGAGGGGGTTTTGGGATCCCGTCCCAGGTTCCCGGGCATGGATCGAGTCCCTCTTCCTCCATCCCGAATTCCAAAGGCGCCTCATTCCCAAAAGCCACCGGGAGGTGACAGGAGAAGGTTGTGACATTCCCAACCCCGTGGGAGTCCTGAGCAGGATCTCATCCCAAAAAAAACCTCAGGAGGACCCTCAGGATCCCAAAAAACCCATCAGAACCCTCAGGATCCCAAAAAAAACCCAGAAGGACCTTTGGGAGCCAAAAAAAATCCATGGCGGGACCTTCAAGATCCTAAAAATCCCCAAAAGGACCTTCAGAATCTCAAATAAAAAAGATCCCAAAAGAACCTTCAAGATCCCAAAAAACCCCAAAAGACCCTCAGAATCCCAAAAAAAAAACCCCAAATGGACCTTCAGGATCCCAAAAAAACTCCAGAAGGACCTTTCAGATCCCAAAAAAAACCACCCAGAATGACCTTCAGGATCCCAAAAAAAACCCCAGAAGGACCCTCAGGATCCCAAAAAAACCCAAAAGAACCTTCAGGATCCCAAAAAAACCCAGAAGGACCCTCAGGATGCCAAAAAAACCCAAAAGACCTTCAGGATCCAAAAAAAACCCAGAAGGACCCTCAGGATCCCAAAAAAACCCAAAAGGACCCTCAGGATCCCAAGAAACCCCAGAAGGACCCTCAAGATCCCAAAAAAACCCCAAAAGAACCTTCAGAATCCCAAAAAAAACCCCAGAAGAACCCTCAGGATCCCAAAAAACCCCAGAAGGACCTTTCAGATCCCAAAAAACCCCCAAAACGACCTTCAAGACCCCCAAAAAAAACCCCAGAATGACCCTCAGGATCCAAAAAACCCCAGAAGGACCTTTCAGATCCCAAAAAACCCCAGAAGAACCTTCAGAATCCCAAAAAAATCCAGAAGGACCCTCAGGATCCCAAAAAAACCCAAAAGAACCTTCAGGATCCCAAAAAAAACCCCAGAAGGACCCTCAGGATGCAAAAAAAACCCATGGCGGGACCTTAAAGATCCTAAAAATCCCCAAAAGGACCTTCAAGATCCCAAAAAACCCCAAAAGAACCTTCTGAATGCCAAAAAAAACCCCATAAAAGACCTTTAGAATCCCAAAAAACCCCCAAAATGACCTTCAGAATCCCAAAAAACCCCCAGAAGGACCTTCAGAATCCCCAAAAAACCAAGAAGGACCCTCAGGATCCCAAAAAACTCCAGAAGAACCCTCAGGATCCCAAAAAAACCCAAAAGAACCTTCAGGATCCAAAAAAAACCCAAAAGACCTTCAAGATCCCAAAAAAACCCCAGGAGGACCCTCAGGATCCCAAAAAACCCCAAAAGAACCTTCAGAATGCCAAAAAAAACCCCATAAAAGACCTTCAGAATCCCAAAGAACTCCAGAAGGACCTTTCAGATCCCAAGAAACCCCCAAAATGACCTTCAGAATCCCAAAAAAACCCCAGAAGGACCTTCAAGATCCCAAAAAAACCCCCAGAAGGACCTTCAGAATCCTAAAAAAAAACCCCAAAAGACCCTCAGAATCCCAAAAAAACCCAGAATGACCTTCAGAATCCCAAAAAACCCCATCAGAACTCTCAGAATCCCAAAAAACCCAAAAGGACACTCAAGATCCCAAAAAACCCCATCAGGACCTTCAAGATCCCAACAAACTCCAGAATGACCCTCAGGATCCCAAAAGAAACCCCAAAAGACCTTCAAGATCCTAAAACAACCCCAGAAGGACCCTCAGGATCCCAAAAAAAACCCAGAAGGACCCTCAGGATCCCCAAAAAACCCCAGAAGGACCCTCAGGATCCCAAAAAAACCCCAAAGAACCTTCAGAATCCCAAAAAAACCCCAGAAGGACCCTCAGAATCCCAAAAAACCGCAAAAGAACCTTCAGAATCCCAAAAAAAACCCCGTAAAAGACCTTCAGAATCCCAAAAAAAAACCCCAAAAGACCCTCAGAATCCCAAAAAAACCCCAAAAGGACCTTCAAGATCCCAAAAACCCCCAAAAGAACCTTCAGAATCCCAAAAAAAAACCCCAGAAGAACCTTCAGAATCCCAAAAACCCCAGAAGGACCCTCAGGATCCCAAAAAAACCCCCAGAAGGACCCTCAGGATCCCAAAAAACTCCAGAAGGACCCTCAGGATCCCAAAAAAACCCCAAAATGACCTTCAGAATCCCAAAAAACCCCCAGAAGGACCCTCAGGATCCCAAAAAAACCCAAAAGACCCTCAGGATCCCCAAAAAAACCCAAAAGAACCTTCAGAATCCCAAAAAACCCCAAAAAGACCTTCAAGATCCCAAAAAACCCAGAAGGACCCTCAGGATGCCAAAAAAACCCATGGCAGGACCTTCAAGATCCTAAAAATCCCCAAAAGGACCTTCAGAGTCCCCAAAAAATACCCCAAAAGGACCTTCAGAATCCCAAAAAACCCCAAAAGACCCTCAGAATCCCAAAAAAACCCCAGAAGGACCCTCAGGATCCCAAAAAACTCAAGAAGGACCCTCAGGATCCCAAAAAAACCCCCAAAAGAACCTTCAGAATCCCCCAAAAAATCCAGAAGGACCTTCAGAATCCCAAAAAACCCCAGAAGGACCCTCAGGATGCCAAAAACCCCCCAGAAGAACCCTCAGGATCCCAAAAAACTCCAGAAGGACCCTCAGGATCCCAAAAAACTCCAGAAGGACCCTCAGGATCCCAAAAAAACCCAGAATGATCTTCAGAATCCCCAAAAAAAAACCCAGAAGGACCCTCAGGATCCCAAAAAAAACCCCAAAAGACCTTCAAGATCCCAAAAACCCCCAAAAGTACCTTCAAGATCCCAAAAAAACCCCAAAAGAACCTTCAGAATCCCAAAAAAACCCCAAAAGACCCTCAGGATCCCAAAAAAAACCCCCAAAAGACCTTCAGAATCAAAAAAAAAACCCCAGAAGGACCCTCAGAATCCCAAAAAAACCCAAAAGAACCTTCAGAATCCCCAAAAAAACCCAAAAGACCCTCAGAATCCCAAAAAACCCCAGAAGGTCCCTCAGGATGCCAAAAAAACCCAAAAGAACCTTCAGAATCCCAAAAAACCCCCAGGAGGACCCTCAGGATCCCAAACCCCCAGGAGGAGCTCTGGTCTACCGGCTTCGCTGAGGAACTTCTCCCGGTTCTCGGGGCTGCAGTCCTCCTTGCAGGTCTTCACCGCCACGTCCAGCCGCTCCCCGCTCTGCTCCGAGACGGAAACGCGGGAATGGGACATTCCCGGCGCGGGGAACGCCGGGATTTGGGGTGAGGAGAACGCGGGGAGGGTCTCACGGGCGTGGTGTAGATCCCCTGGTAGACCTCTCCGAAGAATCCTTCCCCCAGGATCCGGCCCAGCGCCACGGCGTCGCGGCAGATCCCGAAGTTCTGCGCTGGATGGAGATGGGAATGATTCCAAACGGGTCCATGGGAAGATCCACCCGGAATTCAGCGGGGGAGGTCCATGGCTAAGGACACGCTCGTCCCACCAGGATCTGTGAGGATCCATCCGTGGATCCGTGGATCCTATTCTCCACCCATGGATCCTGATCTCCATCCATGGATCCTGCATTCCATCCATAGATCCATGGATCCTGCATCTCCATCCATGGATCCTGCTCTCCGTCCATGAGGATCCATGGATCCTGCATCTCCATCCATGGATCCTGATCTCCATCCATGGATCCTGCATCTCCATCCATGAGGATCCATGGATCCTGATCTCCCCATCATCCCAAAGGTCCATGGATCCTGATCTCCGTCCATGGATCCTGCATCTCCATCCATGGATCCTGATCTCCATCCATGGATCCTGCATCTCCATCCATGGATCCTGATCTCCATCCATGGATCCTGATCTCCATCCATGGATCCTCATCTCCATCCATGGATCCTGCTCTCCATCCATGGATCCTGATCTCCATCCATGGATCCTCATCTCCATCCATGGATCCTGCTCTCCATCCATGGATCCTGCTCTCCATCCATGGATCCATGACGATCCTGATCTCCATCCATGGATCCTGATCTCCATCCATGGATCCATGGATCCTGATCTCCCCATCATCCCAAAGTTTCATGGATCCTGATCTCCATCCATGAGGATCCATGGATCCTGCTCTCCATCCATGGATCCATGGATCCTGATCTCCCCATCATCCCAAAGGTCCATGGATCCTGATCTCCATCCATGGGGATCCATGGATCCTGCATCTCCATCCATGGATCCTGATCTCCCCATCATCCCAAAGTTTCATGGATCCTGATCTCCATCCATGAGGATCCATGGATCCTGCTCTCCATCCATGGATCCATGGATCCTGATCTCCCCATCATCCCAAAGGTCCATGAATCCTGCATCTCCATCCATGGATCCTATTCTCCATCCATGGATCCTATTCTCCATCCATGGATCCTGCTCTCCATCCATGGATCCATGAGGATCCTGATCTCCATCCATGGATCCTGATCTCCATCCATGGATCCTGATCTCCATCCATGGATCCTGATCTCCATCCATGGATCCTGCATCTCCACCCATGGATCCTGATCTCCATCCATGGATCCTGATCTCCATCCATGGATCCTGATCTCCATCCATGGATCCTGATCTCCATCCATGGATCCATGGATCCTGATCTTCCCATCATCCCAAAGGTCCATGGATCCTGCTCTCCATCCATGGATCCTGTTCTCCATCCATGGATCCATGGTTCCTGATCTCCATCCATGGATCCATGAGGATCCTGTTCTCCATCCATGGATCCTGCTCTCCATCCATGAGGATCCATGGATCCTGCATCTCCATCCATTGTTCCTGATCTCCATCCATGGATCCATGGATCCTGATCTCCCCATCATCCCAAAGGTCCATGGATCCTATTCTCCATCCATGGATCCTTATCTCCATGGATCCATGGATCCTGCTCTCCATCCATGGATCCTGCAACTCCATCCATCGATCCTGCTCTCCATCCATGGATCCTGCCCTCTCCATCCATGGATCCATGAATCCTGATCTCCATCCATGGCTCCTGCTCTCCATCCATGGATCCTGATCTCGATCCCAAAGGTCCATGGATCCTGCATCTCCATCCATGGATCCTGATCTCCATCCATGGATCCTGCCCTCTCCATCCATGGATCCATGAATCCTGATCTCCATCCATGGCTCCTGCTCTCCATCCATGGATCCTGATCTCGATCCCAAAGGTCCATGGATCCTGCATCTCCATCCATGGATCCTGATCTCCATCCATGGATCCTGCCCTCTCCATCCATGGATCCATGGATCCTGATCTCCATCCACGGATCCTGCATCTCCATCCATGGATCCTGATCTCCATCCATGGATCCTGATCTCCATCCATGGGTCCATGGATCCTGCACCTCCCTCATCCCAAGTTTCCATGGATCCCACCCCGTGCCCCATCCCAGCTCCCCTGGGACCTTCCCGGAGGTTTGCTGAGGGAATTTGGGATGGGCAGGAGAATTCCAAGGGCAGCACCCACCTCCGGATCTCGGCCTCGAGGAATCGTCCAGGATTTCCGCGTAAATTTCCGAATCTGCGGGAAAACGGGATGCGGGAATGGGATCAGGGATCTCCGGGGGTGTGGGAGGTCTTCATCACCTCCAGAGGGTCTGGTGCTCCTCAAGGATCCTTGGATGGATCCCAACCCTCTGGAAAGGAGCCGGGAGTGTCCAGAATTCCCAAATCCCGCATGGAATGGGCCCCGAATCCCATGGAATGGGCCCCGAAGCCCACATGGAATGGGCCCCAAATCCCGGATGGAATGGGCCCCGAAACCCACATGGAATGGGCCCCGAATCCCACATGGAATGGGCCCAAATCCCGCATGGAATGGGACCAAATCCCACATGGAATGGGCCCCGAATCCCACATGGAATGGGCCCCGAATCCCACATGGAATGGGCCCCAAATCCCATGGAATGGGCCCCGAATCCCACATGGAATGGGCCCCGAATCCCACATGGAATGGGCCCCGAATCCCACATGGAATGGGCCCCAAATCCCACATGGAATGGGCCCCGAATCCCGCATGGAATGGGCCCAAATCCCACATGGAATGGGCCCCGAATCCCACATGGAATGGGCCCCGAATCCCACATGGAATGGGCCCCAAATCCCATGGAATGGGCCCCAAATCCCTCATGGAATGGGCCCCGAATCCCACATGGAATGGGCCCCAAATCCCACATGGAATGGGCCCCAAATCCCATGGAATGGGCCCCAAATCCCTCATGGAATGGGCCCCGAATCCCATGGAATGGGCCCCAATTCCCGCATGGAATGGGCCCCAAATCCCGCATGGAATGGGCCCCAAATCCCGCATGGAATGGGCCCCAAATCCCGCATGGAATGGGCCCCGAATCCCGCATGGAATGGGCCCCGAATCCCACATGGAATGGGCCACAAATCCCACATGGAATGGGCCCCGAATCCCACATGGAATGGGCCCCGAATCCCACATGGAATGGGCCCCGAATCCCACATGGAATGGGCCCCGAATCCCTCATGGAATGGGCCCCGAATCCCACATGGAATGGGCCCCAAATCCCTCATGGAATGGGCCCCAAATCCCACATGGAATGGGCCCCGAATCCCGCATGGAATGGGCCCCGAATCCCACATGGAATGGGCCACAAATCCCGCATGGAATGGGCCCCGAATCCCGCATGGAATGGGCCCCAAATCCCGCATGGAATGGGCCTGAATCCCATGGAATGGGCCCCAAATCCCGCATGGAATGGGCCCCAAATCCCGCATGGAATGGGGACCGTATCCCGCATGGAATGGGCCCCGAATCCCGCATGGAATGGGCCCCGAATCCCACATGGAATGGGCCCAAATCCCGCATGGAATGGGGCCCGAATCCCACATGGAATGGGCCCCAAATCCCGCATGGAATGGGGACCGTATCCCGCATGGAATGGGCCCCAAATCCCGCATGGAATGGGCCCCGAATCCCGCATGGAATGGGCCCCGAATCCCTCATGGAATGGGCCCCGAATCCCGGATGGAATGGGCCCCGAATCCCACATGGAATGGGCCCCGAATCCCGCATGGAATGGGCCCCGAATCCCGCATGGAATGGGCCCCGAATCCCACATGGAATGGGCCCCGAATCCCACATGGAATGGGCCCCGAATCCCACATGGAATAGGCCCCAAATCCCGCATGGAATGGGCCCCGAATCCCACATGGAATGGGCCCCGAATCCCACATGGAATAGGCCCCAAATCCCAGATGGAATGGGCCCCAAATCCCAGATGGAATGGGCCCCAAATCCCAGATGGAATGGGCCCCAAATCCCGCATGGAATGGGCCCTGAATCCCGCAGGGAATGGGCCCCGAATCCCACATGGAATGGGCCCCAAATCCCGGATGGAATGGGCCCCAAATCCCGCATGGAATGGGCCCCGAATCCCGCATGGAATGGGCCCCGAATCCCACATGGAATGGGCCCCGAATCCCATGGAATGGGCCCCAAATCCCACATGGAATGGGCCCCGAATCCCGGATGGAATGGGCCCGAATCCCGCATGGAATGGGCCCCAAATCCCGCATGGAACGGGCCCCGAATCCCATGGAATGGGCCCCAAATCCCGCATGGAATGGGCCCCGAATCCCACATGGAATGGGCCCCGAATCCCACATGGAATGGGCCCCAAATCCCACATGGAATGGGCCCCGGGGTGGTGGGAAGGGGCAGGAGGTGGAACTCACCCCCGCTGAGGCTGTGGGACAGCGTGGAGAGCCTCTCCCCGAGATTCCTGAGGGTGGGAAGAGGGTCAGGACAGGGATCCCGGCCCGGCTGTGGGGTCGGGAATCCCGGGAAAAGTGTCGGGATCACTCACAGGGCCGGGATCTGCGGGAGGCTGAGCCTCTTCTCGCGATCTGCGGGGAGGGAAGGGGTGAGGTCCAATCCTAATCCCAATCCTAATTCCAATCCCAATCCTAATCCTAATCCAAATCCCAAACTCAACCCTAATCCTAACCCTAACCCAGTCCTAATCCTAATAAGAATCCTAATACTAATCCCTAATCCCAATCCCAATCCTAATCCTAATCCTAATACTAATCCTAATCCTAATCATAATCCTAATCCTAATCCCAATCCCAATCCCAATCCAAATCGAATCTGAATCCCCATCCATATTCCATTTCTAATCCCAATCCCAATCCTAATCCTAATACCAATCCCAATCCAAATCCTAATCCCAATCCTAATCCCAATCCCAATCCCAATCCCAATCCCAATCCTAATCCCAATCCAAATTGAATCTGGATCCCAATCCCTATTCCATTTCTAACCCTAATCCCAATCCTTATCGTAATCCCAATCCTTATCGTAATACCAGTCCTAATCCTAATCCTAATCCTAATCCTAATCCTAATCCTAATCCCAATCCCAATCATAATTGAATCTGAATCCAAATACCAATCCCAATCCTAATCCTAATCCTGATCCTGATCCTAATCCTAATCCTAATCCCAATCCTAATCCTAATCCTAATCCTAATCCTGATCCTAATCCTAATCCTAATCCTAATCCTAATCCTAATCCTAATCCTAATCCTAATCCTAGTCCTAGTCCTAGTCCTAGTCCTAATAATAAACCTAAACCCAATCCCTATCGAATCTAAATCCAAATCCCAATTCCTATTCCATTTCTAATACCAATCCTAATCCCAATCCCTATCCCAATCATATTCCCAATCCCAATCAAATCTGAATCCCAATCCCTATTCCATTTCTAATCCTAATCCCAATCCTAATCCTAATCACAATCCTAATCCTAATCCTAATCCCAACTCTAATCCCAATCCCAATCCCAATCCCAATCCTAATCCTAATACTAATCCCAATCCCAATCCCAATAATAATCCCAATTCTAATCCAAATTCTAATCTCAATCCCAATTTTCATCGGAATTCTAATCCCAATCATAGTCCTAATCCTAATCCCAATCCCAATTCTACTCCTAATCCTAATCCCAATCCTAATACTAATCCAAATTCTAATCCTAATCCAAATAATCCCAATTATCACAATCCTAATTATAATCCTAATCCCAATCCCATCTACATCCTATCCTTATCCCATCCCAATCCCATTCCCAACCCATCAATCCCATCCCATGATTCCAGCCCATCCCATCCCATGGATCCCATCCCATGGATCCCTTTGATCCCATAGATCCTATCCCATCCCATAGATCACATCCCGTCCCATCTTGTCCCAGTCCCATCCCATGATCTCATCCCATTGTCGCATCCCATTATCCCATGGATCCCATCCCATGGATCGCATCCTCCCATTGATCCCATCCCATTGATCCCACGGATCCCATCCCCTGATCCCATAGATCCCATCCCACAGATCTCATCCCACGGATCCCATCCCCTGCTCCCATCCCATCCCAACCCACTGATCTCATTCCATGGATCCCATCCCATGGATCTCATCCCATGGATCCCATCCCCTGAATCCCATCCCCTGAATCCCATCCCATGGATCCCATCCCATGGATCCCATCCCATGGATCTCATCCCATGGATCCCATCCCCTGAATCCCATCCCATGGATCCCATCCCATGGATTCCATCCCCTGAATCCCATCCCAAGGATTCCATCCCCTGAATCCCATCCCAAGGATCCCATCCCATTGATCCCATCCCATGGATCTCATCCCATACCATGGATCTCATCCCATCCCATGGATCTCATTCCATCCCATGGATCCCATCCCATTGATCCCATCCCATGGATCCCATCCCATTGATCCCATCCCATTGATCCCATCCCATGGATCCCATCCCATCCCATCCCATCCCATCCCATCCCATCCCATCCCATCCCACAGATCCCATCCCATCCCACAGATCCCATCCCATTATCCCACGGATCCCATCCCACGGATCCCATCCCATGGATCCCATCCCATAGATCCCACCCCCTGCTCCCCTCCCATCCCGGATTCCCACCTTTCCTGGGGAGGACGAGGAGCGATGTCTCCGCGCCGCGCTGGAGGCGGCAGTAGCCGTCGATGAGGTCGGCCATGTTCTCCGCCTCGGCCAGCGACGACGTCCTGATGGCCAACGCCTTGGGAATGCCGGGATGGCGGGATGGGATCGGCGATCCCACTTTTCCACAACCTCCCTTCCCAGAATTCCGAGACACCCCGGACAACACCGAAGCGTTCCCGGGAAGAGGCGGCAACAGGGACGTTCCCGATTTTTAGGGATTTTTTTGGGATGGAGCTTCCTGCCCGACCCGCAGGGATCCCACTCGGCATTCCTGGGATGCTGTGGTGAATTCCCGGGAATTCTTGAAATTCCCGACTCCTCACCTGGGGGTTCCCGTTGAGCTCCAGCTGCAGCAGAGCCTGACCGTCCTCCGCTCCGGAGCAGCGGATGGATTTGATATCCCGGAATTCCGCCAGGCAGGTGGGCTGGGAAGGGGGAATTCACCGGGAATTTGGTCGGCGTTGAGTTTGAGGGAAGCAGGAGCGCTCCGGATCCCCATCCCGGAATTCCCACCTTGGCGTCCTTGGTGGTCACCTGGCGGATGCCCTTGGGGCCGATGACCAGGTCCACGGTGATGTTCCATCCTTGCTGGGGGCGGCAGGAGCGGGAAGGGATTCGGGATGAGGAGCATCCCGATGGGCCGCTCCCATCCCAATCCCATCTCCGTGAAATCCCAAACCCCCTCCTCATCCCCGATCCACCTCGCTCCGCCTCATTCCGTTGCCATCTCCCGTGTCTGTTCCCTTTATCCCATATCCCATATCCCATATCTCATATCCCAAATCCCATATCCCATATCCCAGATCCCATATCCCATATCCCACATCCCATATCCCATATCCCATATCCCACATCCCACATCCCATATCTTGTATCCTGTACACCATATCCCATATCCCCTATCCGATATCCCATATCCCACATCCCAAATCCCGTATCCCAAATCCCATACCCCAAATCCCTTTATCCCATATCCCATATCCCCTATCCGATATCCCACATCCCATATCCCATATCCCATATCCCATATCCCATATCCCATATCCCACATCCCATATCCCATATCCCACATCCCATATCCCATATCCCATATCCCACATCCCGTATCCCACGTCCCATATCCCATATCCCATATCCCATATCCCATATCCCATATCCCATATCCCATATCCCATATCCCACATCCCACATCCCATATCCCACATCCCATATCCCATATCCCACATCCCATATCCCATATCCCATATCCCATATCCCACATCCCATATCCCACATCCCACATCCCATATCCCATATCCCATATCCCATATCCCACATCCCATATCCCATATCCCACATCCCACATCCCATATCCCATATCCCACATCCCATATCCCATATCCCATATCCCATATCCCATATCCCATATCCCATATCCCACATCCCACATCCCACATCCCACATCCCATATCCCATATCCCATATCCCACACCCCACATCCCATATCCCACACCCCATATCCCATATCCCATATCCCATATCCCACATCCCATATCCCGTATCCCGTATCCCGTATCCCATATCCCACATCCCACATCCCACATCCCATATCCCATATCCCATATCCCATATCCCACATCCCATATCCCATATCCCACATCCCATATCCCATATCCCATATCCCATATGCCATATCCCATATCCCATATCCCATATCCCGTATCCCACATCCCATATCCCACATCCCATATCCCATATCCCATATCCCATATCCCGTATCCCATATCCCATATCCCATATCCCACATCCCACATCCCATATCCCACATCCCATATCACATATCCCACATCCCATATCCATATCCCATATCCCATATCCCATATCCCACATCCCACATCCCATATCCCATATCCCACATCCCATATCCCATATCCCATATCCCATACCCCATATCCCATATCCCACATCCCATATCCCATATCCCATATCCCATATCCCATATCCCACATCCCACATCTCACACCCCATATCCCATATCCCATATCCCATATCCCATATCCCATATCCCATATCCCATATCCCGTATCCCGTATCCCACAACCCACATTCCCGCATTCCCACGTTCCGGGCACTCACGACGAGCTGGCAGCGGAAGGTCTCCTGGTCGATATCCAATATCCCATATCCCCTATCCCATATCCCAATATCCTGTATCCCATATCCCATATCCCACATCCCACATCCCACATCCCATATCCCATATCCCATATCCCATATCCCATATCCCACATCCCATATCCCACCTCCCCTATCCCATATCCCATATCCCATATCCCATATCCCATATCCCACATCCCATATCCCATATCCCACATCCCACATCCCATATCCCACATCCCATATCCCATATCCCATATCCCACATCCCATATCCCACATCCCATATCCCATATCCCATATCCCATATCCCACATCCCACATCCCATATCCCATATCCCATATCCCATATCCCATATCCCACATCCCATATCCCACATCCCACATCCCATATCCCATTCCCGCATTCCCGCATTCCCGCATTCCCGTATCCCGCATTCCCGCGTTCCGGGCACGCACGACCAGCTGGCAGCGGAAGGTCTCCTGGTCGATGGGGGTGAAGGTGGCCAGGGTGTGCAGGAACTTCAGGATGCACTCCTCCTCCCGCAGCTGCGCGTACTGCTGGAACGTCTGCTGGATCATCTTCCGCAGCTGCCGCGGCTGCCGCACCGACACCGGAACCCCGGGATGGGGCGGGGTGAGGCATGGAATGTCGGGATGGACACGGCGTTGGATACGGAAATGGGGCATTGGATACGGGAATGGGGCATTGGATTTGGGAATAGCGGGATGGACACGACATTGGATACGGGAATGGGGCATTGGATACAGGAACATCGGGATGGACACAGTGTTGGATACGGGAATGGGGCATTGGATTTGGGAATAGTGGGATGGACACGACGTTGGATATGGGAATGGGGCATTGGATTTGGGAATAGCAGAATGGACACGGCATTGGATATGGGAATGGGGTATTGGATACAGGAACATCAGGATGGACATGGCGGTGGATACAGGAATGGGGCATTAGATATGGGAATAGCAGAATGGACATGGCGTTGGATATGGGAATGGGGCATTGGATATGGGAATAGTGGGATGGACACGACATTGGATATGGGAATGGGCCATTGGATACAGGAACATCGGGATGGACACAGTGTTGGATACGGGAATGGGGCATTGGATTTGGGAACACCAGGATGGACACGGTGTTGGGTTCGGGAATACTGGGATGGACACGGTGTGGGGCACAGGAACGCCGGGATGGGGATGGTGTGAGGGATGGAATTTCGGGATGGACATGACATTGGATACGGGAATGGGGCATTGGATACAGGAACACAGGAATGGACACGGCGTTGGATATGGGAATGGGGCATTGGATTTGGGAATTGTGGAATGGACACAGTGTTGGGTT